GTGTATTTGGCAAGTATATTGTCCAAGATTTGAAGTGGTCAGAATTGTACATTTCAGACTCTTCCCTCACCCACTTTATAGATCAAAACCCAAATAAAGACAGATTAATCTGATTATTTTTGACTGTTTGTCTTTGCAGATTTTATTTTAAAGGTCGCTGTGGAATAACGTTACCACCAGCGCTCGCCCGTCATGAAAGTGAAGTCATTTTTTAAAGGAACATGTGCAAATATTCATATAAAACTCTCCCAAAACTACTGCTACTACAGTAACAAACTATTCATAGATCAAAAGTGTGTTCTCAGCAATTATAAAATAAATTATTGATGTCATAATCATGCTAAAGGCACCAATGTCTTTTGTTTACAACTGATTATCATGGTACTGCTTGTGAACTGCTTGTACAGGTTTATAACGTTTTTGCTTATAAATCCAGTCAGATAAATCATGTAATTGTACAGATCTCATGAACTTATCTATGAATAAAGTAATGGAAAATGTTTTGCCCTTGATGTCCAGTTTTTAAGCTCTTCACTGCTACTTGTTTAGTCCCACTCCCCTGCCTTTGCCATACCCTTTTATATATTTTCTAACAATTCTCTAATTACCTTTTAAAAGCTACTATGAATTCTGCATCAATCAGGTTAGTGACAGTACATTGCAAGTTGAAAATAGCCACTTCTGAGATAAGTGGTAAATAGTGACTACTGGAATTATGTTGACTCACAGGAACCTCAGTATGAAAGTACTAGAGGTCACATCAGAACAAAATTGTCAGTTTGGCATGACATCATTCCAGTTCCTGGTGGGAGTCACGTATTTGCAAATAGATTTTCAACCTTGTGTTTGAGACATCAAATCTCAAATGCATGTTTTTAAACGTATCAAAGAATTTGCAGCACATAGGAGGCCATTACTCCAATTGTGTTGACCGAAGCTCCCTTAAAGAACTACTTAATTTAGTTTTCTCCCTCCTATCTCAAGCGTTCAGGGTTAATGAGAGCTGTTTGCAAATGTTGGGCAAGTTTCCTTACTCCACATTGCTTCTGTTCACCTAGCAGTAAGTAGGAACCTGGTTGTTAGCCAATTAGCGGATTGCTTTTCCAGGTGTACAAAACCCTCATATACGCATTCGTAACATCGAGGTTTGACTATGCAAACTCCTTGCTTGTCGGCTTCCCCAACTCTCTCCATAGGCTGCAGATCATCCAGAACTCTGTAGCCCATGTCCTCTCCCGCACCAGGTTCGGTGACCCTATCATACCATCCTCGCCTGACTCTACTGGCTTTCCATCACAGAGGGTACAGTTCAAGATCCCGTTGGTCTGTCAGTCTAGGCCGAGTTCAAAGTTCCAACATGAGGCTTGAACCCACAACCTTCTGACTCACAGTAAATACTACCAATTGAGCCTCCTCTCGTTCTTTCCTAGAGGGATGTATTGGGTGAATTCTGTCCTTTCCCTTTTCCAACAGAAGTGCATTAACTTGTATTTGGATATCATTTTTTGATGGAAGATGATGTTTGAATCCAATGTATTTTAGTGCCTGACTTCAGCCTCTATAGTTCATCTCTAAGGTTGGTTGTACACAGTGCCACCCAGCGGTTGGCATAATTTATGACAATACTCAAGAACAGAGTGGTCCAAACTTTTGGCTGCCGCAGGCCGGATACCCCATTTGAGACAGGTCCACAGGCTGCAGGATTAAGTTGCTAAGGACGTGGTTGGTGAGAGACACGCTTGCCTTTCTGACCGACTGCAGTAACAGCCGGTATTATTTCTACTCTCCGCACTGCGCCATCCCAACCGCCAGCTCCTGCCGCTGCCCTAGGAGGAAGTTCACCAAGAAGGGAGGGAGTGGAATAGGAAATGGTTGCGGGCATCTTTAAAATCACCCGCAGGGATGAATGCCACCTGCGGGCCACGTGTTGGGCCACGCTGCTATAGAACATATTTTATATTTGTTATAATAGTGACTGGATGAAATTTTACTGGTCAGTCACATTCCTGCTGTTCCAAAGTGAGTTGTGATGTGTAAGAAGCTCTCCTAATGTCACTTCCTGTATGCTGCGCATGAACCAGGAAGTGTCACTGATGTCACTTGGTGGGGGAAATGATATTAGTGACGCATTGAGCGCAATGGGCAGGACGTGATGGCATTGGCGACCTGAGAACCCAAACTTAACTTTTTTTTGCTTATAACACGGTCTCTGAGATATTGGTCCCAGGTGACTGTATTACAACACAGATTTCCTGTAGGTGTTAAGTTGGGTTACCTCATTTTTTATACAATACTAATTTGCAGACTGGGTTCATATGATGGTTAACAATTGGGTATAGGGAGTACAATTTCCAAGTTTACAGATGATACTAAGCTAGAAAAAATAGTAAACAGTGAGGATGATAGTAGCAGACTGCAAGGGGACATAGACAGACTGGTAAAATGGGCCGACACAGACATGTGGAAGATGAAGTTTAATGTGGAGAAATGCAAAGTGATTCATTTTGAGAGGAAGAATGAGGAGAGGCAATATAAGCTGATGGTACAATCTGAAAATGGATGAAGGAATAGAGAGACCTGGCGTTCATATAAGTAAATCTTTGAAGGTGACATGACTGGTAGATAAAGCTGTTAAAAAAGCACACGGGATACTAGGCTTTATAAATAGGGGCATAGAATACAAAAGTCAGGAAGTTGTGATAAACCTTTATAAAACACTGGTTAGGCCTCAGCGAGAGACTGAGTTCAGTTCTGGGCACCACACTTTAGGAAGGATGTCAAGGCATTGGAGAGGGTGCAAAGGAGATTTACCAGGATGGTACCAGGGATGAGGGACTTCAGTTATCAGGAGAGGCTAGAGAAGCTGGGATTATTCTCCTTGGAGCAGAGAAGGTTAAGAGGAGACTTAATAGAAGTTTTCAGAATTATGAGGAGATTCAATAGGGTGAACAAGGAGAAACTACTTTCACTGGCGGGTGGGTTGGTAACCTGAGGACATGGATTTAAAATAGTTGTTAAAAAAAACAGAGGGTAGGTGAGGAGAAACGTTTTCACACAGCGAGTTGTTGGGATCTGAAATGCGTTGCCTGAAAGGGTGGTGGGAGCCGATTCAATAACAACTTTTAAGAGAGAGGTAGATAATTATTTGGGGAGGACAAGTTTGCAGGGCTATGGGGAAAGAGCGGGGGAGTGGGATTGAATTAGATAGCTCTTTTCAAAGAGCCAGCACAGACACGATGGCCTCCTTCCGTGCTGTATAAGTCTATGATTCTGATAGCAAGGTCAAACTGAGAATTCTGGAATTCAGGTGTGCAACGATTGCACAGACATTATTATATTATATCATAGACATGGGTTTAATTGTTTATTTGTGTGCTTTCAATCTATTTTTGTTCTTTCTTTGTTTTCTTTTCAATACCAGAAACGTAAGCAACTTCCAGCTGAAGTTCTTGAAGAGCTCATCGCAGTCCCAGAAATGTGAGTAAGGAATTAATCTGTGTCATGTACATCAATTAAGGATCATTAAGTGCATGGCTAGTAGATGTAATAATTTAGAGAGAAGTTGGCTCACGGTGTATTATCGTTACAAATATGCAGATAGCAAATATATGACGGGAAAGAGGATCAATCTGAATGAATAATGGATTCCATGTCATAATTCTAAAATAGGCTTGCTTGTAAAGTTTGTTTAAAACTCATTGCCCATTTTAATGAATTTTAATGTAATTTTAATGTACGTTTTAATGTACTTCAGTGCTAGAATGTGAAGCTAGTTCTCTCAACATGAAAGGAAATACTGTAGTTTACATAAAATGTCTCAGTGCAGGCCAGTCAATTCAGCCACAACTATTGTCACTGTTAAATGGCAGTATTGTTTTTCTCTAATCTCGCTCTCCTGCTCACTTCCTAGGTGCTTTAGTATTCATATTTTACAGTCCTTTAAAGGTAAATGATTTAAGAAAACTATACATGCACCAAGCAAAGGCTAAATGAACACTCAGATTTTAGCGAGATCTCAGGGATTTGTTTGAATTTCTTGTCATATACCTGAAACAATGCATTTGGCATTTTAAAGTTTGTTTGATGCTGTCATGTCTTCAGTTATTTCACTTGTTAACTAATTTCTATATCTAAGCTTCAGCCTGCAGCTTTAAAATAAACTAGAAGATGCGATGCATCAGATTTGCTCGTTTGTTTATTTGTGACTGCTTGAAGGTTGCAAGCAATACATCAGTGACACTGTGTGTATTTAGTGACTTGTTGTTTGGTCTAGGAAGGATCCGGTACCGGACACAACTAGTGGCATCACAACAGGTAAGTAGTGATACAAAAAACAAGTCGCTGGAAACCCTCAGCAGGTCAGGGAGCATCTACGGCGAAAGGAAGGTGTGTCAACATTTCAGGTCCATGACCCTTCGTCAGAATCCGATTCAATAACAACTGACGAAGGTTTGTGGACCCGAAACGTTGACTCACTTTCCTTTCTCTATAGATGCTGCCTGACCTGCTGAGTGTTCCCAGCGACTTCTGTTTTCGTTTCAGATTTCCAGCATCTGCAGTATTTTGTGTTTTGTAGTGATATCAAGTTCTCTTTTGTTGAATGGTTATTGCCTTTTGATTTAAATTATATAATCATTCAATGTATTTTTTGTTACACTGTTCGTAGCAGAGAGTGTCTGACACTTATTGTTATTGTTCTTTTTCTTAATGATGGTGTTGAATTTCTCCTGCACACAATGACACCCACGGCACTCTTACAATGTGAATATTGACTATTTTTTCTGGAATATGCGCCTTGTATTGTGGAAGGTGTTTTTTTTGGTCTGTTTTCCACTTCTGTTCCACTCTTGCGAGGATACAATTCACCAGTGTCCTCCAGTACCTCAGCCAGGTGGCTGTTCTTCACGTGTGTCTAACTATTGAGTGTCATTGAGCAATTTGATTGGAGCACATCACAGTCCTGTTCTCATTTGATACCCATTCACATGTTCCAGTACGAATCAGTGGTTGACAATCAGCAGAAAGGCATTTAGTAGTTATGACAATATAATCCTTGCATATGATATAGAATGATCACATTGACAAAAAGTCTCAAAGTGCTTAATGTAGAATGCAGTGAATTTTTGTAGGCAAACCCAGCAACCAATTTGTACACAGTGATGTCCCACATTGTTGGTCAGGCCTCAGGAAGCACCCCCCTTCTCTTTTCCAATAGTGCCATTGGATCTTTGCGTACATCTGAAAACAGGCAGACGAGAACTGGCTTTAACTTCTCATCTGAAAGACAGCACCTTTGACAATGCAGAGTATTCCCAGTACTATACTAGAGTGTACATGTGGACTATGAACTAGTCGTAACATGGGGCTTCATCCCACAACCTAATTGATTTAGGAGGGAGGGGTAGAAATATAAAAAAAAATCAGGTTCCTACCAGGTATATAATAATAATAATCCTTGCATTTGATATAGCGCTTTTCACGTCTTCTAGACGTCCCAAAGTGCTTCACAGAATATACTGTAAAGTGAATTGACTGTATATTTGTGGGCGAACGCGGCAGCCAATTGCGCACAGCAATGTCCCACAAACAGTCGTGGATTGAAAATTACCAATTTATTTTTGTTTTTTTTGGCGGGATTATTATTAGGCTCTGTGTGGAGTAAGGAAACTTGCCCAAGGTTTTGCCCTGTCTGGAATTGAACTCAGGTCTCTCACTTGCAAAGTGAGTGCTCTAACCACTGAGCTACAAGTTGCTTGCACTCTTGCCTCTGAGTCAGAAGATTATGGATTCAAGCACCATGTCAGGACTTTGAGCTCATAGTCTAGGCTGACAATTCAATCCAAAACTGGGAAGTGCTGTATTATTGGAGGTGCCAACCTTTGCATGAGACATTAAATCAAGATTGTGTCTTAACTGTTCAGGGTGAATATTAAAATTCCCAGGTACTATTTGAAAAGAGAAGGGAGTTTTCCCCCAGTGTCCTTGCCAACAATCCTCCAGATAAAAAGAAAATTGGTCATTCACTTCATTGTGGAACATTGCTGTGCACAAATTGGCTGCTGAGTTCGCTTACAAATACACAATGAGTACACTTTACAGAAAACTGATTTGCTTCGAGGCGTTTTGATAAGGTAAAGTGCTGTATCAAATATAAGGATTATTATTATTTGCTTTGTTCCTGCTGTCCATGCTAGCTCACCCTGAACATTGGGATGATGATTTGACAGATTAAGGGAGTGGGAAGGGTTCCTATTCCCAGCTCACTGTAATGGCAGTTGTCTGGAGGCAGAAATGCCTGATAAGTCATCTCGAAACATAGAAAGCATACAACATCCATCCAGTCCACTGAGTGTAAGCACTGCAGATTTTCTTGAGACTATTTTAGAACCAATATAAATAGAAATGTTACCTTTTCTAACTTTTTTTTTCCCTTTGAGCCCAGGGAGAGATTTGAGATTATTTCAGTCCTTTTTCTTCTCTTCCCCATGGCTACAAGTGGAATATAATCTCTTGGAAATGCGGGTGGTAGTAAATGAAACTAAATTATTCTGGCAAACTGTGCTTAAAACCAGATTTAGAAGTTGAAGATATTGCTGTTTATGCGGTTTATGTTTCTGCACTTCGTGGTTTAGATAGTCATAACTTCTGTTTTCAGTGCAAGGGGAAGACCAAGAAGCTGAAGAAGACGATGACAACATGGAAAACATTATAAAACCCAGGTAACACATATAAAATCATAGCTCAGTTCAATCAAAGCCAAGTATGGTAATCTGTGTATTTAAGAGAATTTTTTATGTAACTTTTAAAACCTGGTTATTAGCTTAAAACAATGACATTATTTTCAATTATTGTATTTCTGAAAAGCTGCTTTGGAACAGCAGCTTTAGAAAGTCGTAGATGTTCATTTTAAAATGGTAGCTATAAAGTGGTGAACTATAATCTTGACTGTAATCAAACTGCTGCGGTTTGAAAACACCAGGACTTTAGTGCAGTTCATACCTGATTACAGATTTGCTAAACTGCAACAAGCCAATCAGCCATATAATGTCACTATTTATATCTCCAAGTGATGCTAAATGGCACTGTCGGTACACAAGAGGTACAACTTTCAGAATTCACACCATTCAGCAACATTCAACAGTTTTACTTGGGATATATTCTGTTACCAGAGCAATACATCTACTTAATCTGGTTACTTAAAGAGGTCAATGCCTTTCAAAGAGCTGGAAATTCTGTATACAGTTATAATAATAGCTTATGGTAATGGCCTACCAGATTTCTTCTTGTATATTAGGAGTCTGTTGGAAATTCTGGCAACTGCTTCTGTTAAAATACTATCAAGGCAGAAGTTAGTATTTTGTCCCTACAACATTAAAACAGGCCACTCGGCCCAACTGATTTGTGCCCACCAGCCAACTTTACCTGAGGGGCCAGTGGGGGAATACAGAGTTCTTGGTGGGTGGAGAGGCTAAACCTGAAGATTTTTGTTTTTGCCCCAGAGTTTATTTAGATCTGCCCTGTCGCATTTACACATGCTCATTCCCAGGAGGAATCAGTGGGTAATGAACATGAGAAACCCAGTTATAGGAACACAAACTACTGTCTCAGTTCCAGGCTGGGAGTGCTGCCCTGTCAGATCATTTAACTCAGCGAAGAAGGAGATTGAATCTGGGACCTTCCTTGTCTGTATTATGCAGAGCATTTACCCATTCAGTGTTCTGGGACACAATCCTGTGTGAGGGGCAATATATAAATGCAAGTTGTTGTATTCAGCCATTGGGAGGGCTCAGGAGCAAGGAAATTGATGGCTTTCTGTTACTTGTCACCTCAGCCACCAGTTTGAAAAACAACTGTAAGTGTTAATCCTTAGGTGAAGACTTGTCTGCTTTTTGATTATATAGTGCAATTGTCTTGTAGAATGAAGGGGAGATATGAAGCTATTCGACTAAAGGATCAAGGGGAAACTGACCAACGGACAGAGCGGGCCAAAGCTTTTATCAACAGACGACTCTATGGTCCAGGAAGAATGAGAACCAATGGTATAATATAATTCTATGTTCAGTTTCAGCATTCCTGCCTTTGTTCTTTTACAGTTAATTACACTTGTCTTTTATTTTAAACCACAGCCAATGAATATTATTCATTAGCAAACAAGAGGGATGCAAACAAAAAAGGTGCCTTGCAGTTTGTCAACAAATCTTGGGGTAAGCCAACTGGACTGCCTTATTACTGTTCACTATGGAGAGCTTTTAAGACTAGATCATGTGGTGTCAGCTGTTCTGCTTGATGTCTTTCATGTCAATTTCGCACTTGCAGAATTGGCATTTCAATCCACGACTGTTTGTGGGACATGCTGTGTGCAATTGGCTGCCGCATTTCGCCCATAAAATACACAGACAATTCACTTTACAGTGTATTATGTGAAGCGCTTTGAGATGTCTCAACGACGTAATAAGGCACTATCAAATGCAAGAATTATTATTACTTCACTACAATCATGCTGATAAGGGAATTATTTCTTTAAATGTAGTATTTATGCAAAGACTGACTATGTCACAGTGTTTGTAAATACAATTTGAAAAATTATATTCATTTTTCACGTCCGGATTGTGATGTTTTACATTTCAGAGTGGTGAGAATTTTCTCATTGTTCCTCAATTTTTTCGAGTCAGTTGATATGAGGATAATAATAATCATTGCATTTGATGTAATTAGTGTCTTTCACGTCGGAAGAGCATATCAAAGCACTTCTCGGGATTTACTGTAAATAATAATGTATGTATTTGTAGGCAAATGCTGCAGCCCATTTGCGAAGAGGAATGTCCCACAAACAACCATTAAGTGAATGACCAATTTTACTTTGGGGGATTGTTGGCCAGGACTCCCTGAAACTCCCTTCTTTTTTTGAGTAGTGCCATAAGATATTTAATGTCCACCTGAACAAGCAGACAGGACCTCGGTTTAACATCTCATCTGAAGGACTGCCACTTCCAACAATGCAGCACATCCCCAATAATGTGCTTGAGTGTCAGCCTAGACTATATGAGTTCAAAGTCCTGATGTGGGGCTTGGACCCCCAACCCTCTGATTCAGAGGCAAGAGTGCTACCAACTTAGCCAGGTTGACACAGATGGGGACAATTCCAGTGCCACCCTCTGACTGCCACAAGCAGTCGGAAACAGACGGTCAGAAACAGCAGCAACCATTGGCTATTGGCTTAGCTCAACCCAAAAAGTTAACATTGAGCTTGTATTCCATAAACCAGGAAACCCAGTGGTGAAAGCAAATCAACTTCAGGGCCCAACCATTGTGATAGGCTTCAGGGGGAGATTTGGGGAGGTTCATACTTTTGTTATTGAGTGGCTTGACCACATTCAGTTCCACTACAGTAATTAGCATTGACTTTCATTTTAATATTTGGACTTTTAGTGCATTTTTATAACATTTTATATTTTTAGGGAAAAAACAAAAGGAAAAAGCTAGAAAATTGCGAAAGAAATGGATTAAGAAACATGGTATAGTGCCGAGCTGAGAACAGTACGGAAGCTACCGCAAACACAGCTTTGAGTGGCCATGAATTATATGCTGCGTTCTTTAATGGAAAATGGTTTGAATTGAAGGTATCCCCAATTGTCCCCTCTGGACAATAATGAACAGCGTATCAGCGCTGGAACATGGAACATGAAAAGGAAGTTCTTGCTTTGATGTCATTGGTTTAAACACTGATCCATGTTCTTTCTCTTTTACAAGATAAATTCTTGCTTCTGTAAAAAGGTATAAAAAAAAAGCTTCAGATTGTTCATAGCATCTATGATGTGATCTCCATGTAAATGTCATGTTCTTATTACTGGACTTATTTTCTCTTTGAAAATGTATTTGAAGTAATTTTTAAAACTCCAAACTTTTCAAAATAATTGAAGCAGTCAAAACGACCTTAATCCAGTAGGTCAGACTTCACAAAGGAATATAGTAATAAATACATCATGTTACCACTTCATTTTTTGTCATGTTAAATATTTAGTAAACAGAATATGTTATGAGAATCCATTTCGTATATTCTACACAGCTAAGATCACTTAGGAGTTAACAGGCTAGCTACTTATCAGCTATAATCGTATTGTTATTTAATTTTCTGTTTATCAAGTTGGTGATGAAATGTCCTAGGTATGAATATTTCGGTAGTGGCAGATGCCATTTAATATTAATGTTTGGGTAAGTTTCAAACCACTGCTGAGGGACTAGGTCTTTTCTGATGCAGCTCCTTGAGACAGACCACATTGGAACTATGATAAAGTATGAGAGAAATGGGATTCCAATGTAACTGAGGCAAGTCATTGTTAGCCTGATTTTCAGCCCCACACATGCAATGTTGGGTAACAAAATAATAATCCTTGCATTTGGTATAGCCCGTTTCCAGGATTTCCTACAAAGTGGATTGGCTGTGCATTTGTAGGCAAATGTGGCAGCCAATTTCACACAGCAATGTCCCACAAACAGCAATGAAAAGAGTGAGCAGTTTTATTTGGAGGATTATTGTCCAGGACACTGCAAGAAATGCCCTTTTGTTGAATTGTACCATGGACAGGGAATTTTAATATCCATCTGAACAGTAAGACGGGGACCTTGGTTTAACATCTCATCCGAAGTATGGCACCTCCCAATGCAAAATGTATGTTGATGTTTCAGGCAATATCTTTGTGAAAGGATATTCCTGAAACAATTATTTTGTGTTTCCAATGTGTTCATTTGTGTTTTTTTAGGTTTGCGACTGAAGTTTGTAATTGCTGGGGGTACTCTGTTCAAAATATAAATGTGTGAGATGTTTTGGCATACATACTTCTCTGGTAATTACTGCATGTTCCAGCACTTTGCTCATACGCAATAACTTGCGTTTGTCCGGTAGCATAGTGGTTAGCGTGCTTGTTTCACAATTGAGAGGATCTGGGTTCGATCCCCGGTCAGGGTGAAACCTTAGGCAAATTTGCTTATTCCACACGTCTCTGTCTATTTAGCAATAGTCGTTAGTCAATAATACCCCCCCCCAAAAAAAAACATCGCCCACTGTTTGTGGGACTCTTGTCATGCGCAATTGGCTGAGACGATTCGCCCACAAATACAGTCGATTCACTTTGAAGCATATTCTGTGAACCACTTTGAGATCTCAACGATGTGATAAGGCAATATATCAAATGCAAGGATTATTCTAGTGTCCTTCATGCGGGGCAGCATCGCGGAGCGCTTAACAATGGCGGAGACTGGATCAATTTTGGATCTGTTGACCAACAGGTATATAATTTTTAAACTATAATATGTTGCAGAATTAAAAGCAGTTTACTCCACCCTCCCCCAACAATTTGCTTATGATGGGCTTATACCACTTAGGTGTCCACAGACTGACTTGAATTGACTACAGAATACCAATATTTTTAATTATATAATGTACTTGCAGAATAAAACCCAGTTTATGTTTTTTCCCCCCCACACAGTTTATTTATGATAGGTTTTTAGCACTCAGGAGACCACAGACTGGCTTGACTGTTCAGTACAGAACCAAAATTACAAGCAATGGATGAATTTTTAGGTTCATACTAATAATTCTTGAAATTGACAATGTTAATTGTTTTATTGAGTAGTGGCAATTTGTAGACAAATGCAGCAAGTAAGTTGTGAACAACAAAAGACACAAAATTAATAATAATAATAATCCTAGCATTTGATATAGCGCTTTTCACGTCGGGAGGACGTCCCAAAGCGCTTCACAGAACACACTGTAAAGTGAATTGACTGTATATTTGTGGGCGAAAGCGGCAGCCAATTGCGCACAGCAATGTCCCACAAACAGTCGTAGATTGAAAATGACCAATTTAATTATTGTTTTTGGTTTTGGAGGGATTATTATTAGGCTCTGTGTGGAGTAAGAAACTTGCCCAAGGTTTCGCCCTGACCTGCCTGGAATTGAACTCAGGTCTCTCGCTTGCAAAGCGAGTGCTCTAACCACTGAGCTACAGTGACTTGAGTTATGTGGAGGACTATTGGAACTGGGAAACTCTTTCAAATTTTTGAGATTCAGCTATATGAAGCACTTTGGACATCCTCCTGATGTGAAAGAACACAATTTAAATTGTATATTGTGTCCAACTGAAAGATCAGCATCTCAGTCAGGATATTAGATCCTGTATGAAAGCTAATTTTGTCCAGTTGAATGTCAAGACTGAAGCCCTCCTTGGCTCTCGTCCACCCGCCCCACCATTGGTAGACCTTCTGCCACCCTCAGGAACTCCATCCCACAGTCCCTCCGCTTCACCCCCTCCCTTGAAGACCCATCTCAAGACCCTCCTCTTCAACCGTGTTTTCGATCTCTCTGCTTCCCCCACCCGCACTCCACCCTGCCCAATCCCGACCAGATTCTTCAGAACCCTGCAGCGTGTGTCCTCTCCCATGCTACAACAACAAGATTCCATTTATAGAGCACCTTTCACGTAGGGAGGACATCCCAAGGCGCTGGACAGTTGGGTCAGGACCCGAGCAGGGGGGTAATTGTCGGGGAGGGAAGGGAGGGAGCGAGGAGGGGGGAAATTGTCGGGGAGGGAGCGAGGAGGGGGGAAATGGGCAGGGGGAGGGAAGGGAGGGAGCGAGGAGGGGGTAGAGAGTTGAGAGGGGAGCTGAAGGCTCGGTCAAAGAGAAAGGTCTTGAGACCGGCCTTGAAGGAGGAAAGGGAGGATGCGGCGAAGGCACTGGGGGATAGCGTTCCAGACCCTCGGGGCTGAGAGGCTGAAGGCCCGACCACCGATGGTAGGGCGGTTGGGGCGGGGGATGTGGAGCAGACCGGAGCCAGAGGAACGGAGGGTACGGGCAGGTAGGTAGGGGGATAGTAGGTCGGAGAGGTAGGAGGGAGCAAGGCCGTGAATGGCCTTGTAGGTGAGGATGAGGATCTTGAATTCGATCCTCTGGGGGATGGGGAGCCAGTGGAGGCGAGCGAGGGTGGGAGTGATGTGGTCGTGAAGCCTGGTGCGGGACAGTACACGAGCTGCAGAGTTCTGAATGACCTGCAGCTTGTGGAGGGAGGTGGCGGGAAGGCCGGTGAGGACAGAGTTCCCATAGTCCAGCCTTGAGGTGACAAAGGCGTGGACCACAGTTTCAGCCGCGTGAGGGGTGAGGTAGTGCCGTAGTCTGGTGATGTTCCGGAGGTGATGGAAGGCGGTGCCAGTTGTGGTGCGGATATGAGGGAGAAAGGACAGCTCAGGGTCGAACAGAACACCGAGGTTCCTGACTGGCTTTGAGAGGTGGAGAGTGCAGCCTTGGATGCTGATGCTGTCAGCGCCTGAGGTGCGGAGGCGCTGACGTGAGCCAATCAGGAGGGCCTCAGTTTTCGCACGTTGAGCTGAAGAAAGTTGTCTCTCGTCCAGGACTCGATGTCGGACAGGCAGCTGTCAGGACATCGGTGGTCGTGGAGTTGAGGGTAGAGGAGGAAAGGTAGAGTTGGGTGTCATCCGCATACATGTGGAAGTTAACCCCATGTCTGCGGATGATGTCACCAAGGGGGAGCATATAGAGGGTGAAGAGGAGGGGACCGAGGACAGAGCCCTGAGGGACACCGCACGAGACAGTGCGGGGGGTGGAGGAAAAGCCATTCGTGGAAACAAAGTGAAGACGGTGGGAGAGGTACGACCTAAACCACTCAAGGACAGGGCCTTGAAGGTTGAGGTGGGAGGACAAGCGGTGGAGGAGGATAGCGTGGTCGACCGTATCGAATGCTGCCGATAGGTCGAGGAGGACGAGGAGGCAGAGGGAGCCCTGGTCACAGATGGTCAGGATGTCATTGGTGACCTTGACCAGGGCAGTTTCTGTGCTATGGGCAGCACGGAAACCCGACTGAAGGGGTTCAAATAATGAATGGGTGGAGAGGAAAGAGCGCAGCTGGGAGGCGACAACTCGTTCCAGGACCTTGGACAGGAAGGGGAGGTTGGAGATGGGCCGGTAGCTTGATAGCTGCGACGCATCAAGGGAGGGTTTTTTCAAGGTGGGAGTGATGGTGGCAGTTTTTAAGGGAATGGGAACAGAGCCAGAGGAGAGGGACAGGTTGATGATGTCTGTGATATGTGGGGCAAGGAGGTGGAGCTGGGAGATAAGGAGTGGAGTGGGGATGGGGTCAAGGGAGCAGGTGGTGGTTTCAGGGATAGGATGAGTTTGGTGACAGAGGGTGGGGAAACGGGTACGAAAGTGTGTAGGGGAGGATGGGTAGGAGTCGGAGTGTGGGAGGGAGGGGTGGGGGGTGGGTGGATGTTGGAAGGGGAAGTGACCGCGGAGCGAATTCCCTTGATTTTGGATTCAAGGAAATCCAGCATCTCCTCGCAGTGAAGGTTGGAGGAGATGACCTGCGCGGGGTGCCGGGGGGGGACGGAGGAGTCGGGATGTGGTAGAAAACAGAAGCCTGGGGTTGTTCTTCGACTCCAGGATTATCCTGGAGTAGAAGGACGACTTGGCCGAGGCTAGAGTGGAGCGGTAGATTTTGAGGAGGTCCAGCCAGATTTGTTGGTGGACCGTTAGGCCAGATTTGACACAGGTGCGTTCAGCGGCCCGCAACTGGCTCTTCAGTGAGCGGAGGTGGGTGGTGAACCAGAGGGAGGAGCGAGAGTAGGAGACAGTACGGGAGGTGATGGGGGCAAGAGTATCGAGTGTGGAGGAAAGGGTGTTGTGGAGGAGGGTGAGAGGAGAAGAGCGGTCAGTGAGGGTTGAAGGCCAGAGGGAGAGGAGTTCAGAGGACTCCAAGGCAGCGGTTAGGGATTGTGGGGTAACTTCTGCTTCCCCTGGTTGGAGAATCTATAACCAGGGGTCACAATCTTAAAATTAAGCCTTTTAGAACAGAGTTGAGGAAACATTTCTTCACTCAGAGGGTGGTGAATTTATGGAATTCACTACCCCAGAAGGCTGTAGATGCTCAGTCCTTGAACATCTTCAAGGCTGAGACTGATAGATTTTTTAAAAAAAATAGAGATTAGAGGATATGGGGATAGGGCAGATAATTAGTTAGGTCTGAAGATCAGCCATGATCTTATCGAATGGCGGGGCAGGCTCGAGGGGCCGAATGGCCTACTCCTGCTCCTAATTCTTATGTTATTTTCTAATTTACCCACTTCCCTTGCCATCCACTCGTCTTGACTCCAGCCCGCAGCTCAGGTACAAACCCTTCACTGTCCAGTGCCTGGGGACCTCCTCCTGATGTGAAAGGCACCATATAAATAGTTTGTTGATGGTTGCGTTGATGTCTGACAGGCAGGCCATCAGTACCTCAGTGATACTGTCGTCAAGGTGGACAAAGGGTGGGAGTCATTCACACATACATGTAGATCTCATACCTGTAGATAATTGCACCAAGGGCTCATATGTAGATGAGGAATAGAAGAATTGAGGTTAGAGGAACCCATATGAGGAAAAGCAGTTAGAAAAGACAATGACCTTGAGACACAAATGAAACTAGGATAACGCAGAGGTGGAGGTAGATTATGAGAACGAGAAGGATGTACTGGTCAATAACATCAAAAGGAGCAGCGATAGAGGACAAGGATCTCTGGTCACAAATAGAAAATGTTGTTTGTGACTTCTACCAGGCTATTTTAGTGCTGTGGACTGGGCAGAAGTCAGAAACACTGGAAACCACATGAAACAGCAAGTATAGACTTTGTTAAAATATTAATAATAATCCTTGCATTTGATTATGGCACCTGATCATGTCATTGAAACATCTCAAAGTGCTTCACAGAATATACTGTAAAGTGTAGTGACTGTGCGAAACACGACAGCCAATTGCATACAGTGTCCCACAAACAGTCGTGGATTGAGTGACCAAATTATTATGATGGCTGTTTTGAAGGGGTGGCAGAGGAGAAAGGTTGATCATGTCTACCAGCTGGGGAGTGGAGGGAAGTAGATGGGTGGACAGGAATAATGTGGGAATTGGGTCAGGGGAGCATGTGGGAGATTAAGTGAAGGGAAGGGTGTGTGAAGGGAAGGGTGTGTGAAGGGAAGGGTGTGTGAAGGGAAGGATGTGAGGGTGTAGGAAGCAAAGGCAGTTGAGCAGATTTCATTGATGTGACACCAGGAAGTCCCTTTAACCCTAATCTGCTTCCGGTCCTTCAGCAATCTTATCTCTCCTGTCAAATTCCCCTCAACATGTGCCTTAGTTTTTACAAACGTCCTACACAGCAACGTATGAAAGCATTACAAAAATCCAACAGGCATCCATACACATAACATTCATTGCCTTTATCCATGGTTATTTCCTCAAGAATATTAAATGAACAGGAGTAACTAATTCTGCATTTTACAACTTAATGCTGGCATTTAAACCCCTAACAATTTGGAAATGTTGATTCATTATGGACTCAAAGGTTGCACAGAACCAATGTGAGGCTAATTGGTCTGTAGTTTCACAGCTTATCCCCCTCCTCCATCAAGGGTATTACATTCTCCACAATTGTTGTCTGTTACAATCATTGTTTCTAAGGAGGTTTGAAAAATTATGGCTGGTGACCAGATTCTCTTCCGATATCCCTCAATATTTGAACCTTTCTAATATCTTCACTCACTCCTACTCACTGGATTTTCAAAAGAACAATTTTAGGAATCATACAAATAGCATCTCCATGTCAGTTTGTTTCTTATTTCATGGAGATGAAATCTCCACATCAGTTTTATTATGGAAACTTTTTCTTTTTAAACATTGAAATGGAAATCTTAATTGTCAAACTTGTTCAAGCAACCACTTCCATTCAACATCCACACTGTTAATCACCCTGGATCAGCCCAGTTTGAACAAAAATAAACTCTTACTCTGAGACCACACTTAGATAAAGGCCACTGAGGTTGTTGAAGACAGATTTGACTGTATTTTAAAATTCAGAGACAGAACAATGTAAAAATATTCAAAACATTTATATTCTCAATTGCACATTGCAGAATAAACTAATTCATTGGGACCCATCTACAATGGAATATATTGCATGAAAATATCCAATAAATCACAAATCTTTACATAATCGTCTATATACAATAGAAGCAGATGCATTTTGAAGATAAACCAGATAGGATTCACTGGTAATACTGACTGCATCTTATTTCAGATTCGTCACTCAAGTTATCAGTTAAGCAACTGATCTTCATAACCTACCCTCTCACATTTTAAACGGAGAAAACCAATGAAAGAAATTCCAGTTAAGTCACAATGGTAAGCAATACTACACACAACAGAATTTTAAAGCTGCAAAGAATTCCACCTCCAGTTGAAAACTACAGGTTATCATTAGGTCCCATCAATTACCCGTCACCATCCTCCTTGCACAGATATTTTATATCATGTGCCTGATAAAACCGATCTTTTCACAGAAGCGAGATTGTGAAATATGATAAAATATTCCTGGATAGGTCTCACAATTCTTATCCTAGAATATTCATCTGAAAAATATATTTAAATAACAGCTGACTGACATAGCAATCGTGTTTGCTCTCGGGATTATCAAATTCACTTAACAAGCGCTGAGGTCTGGGAGCTAAGACTCCATTGACATGTCACATGCCGACACTTAACCTTACAAATGCAAAGGTGATGACTTGATTAGTAGGCCAGGTGTTAAGTGAGAAGTATTTTTTGCAACTTATGATGCATTTTTCAACTCAATACTTTTAAGGCCACTGTTGGACTTCATCCTGGTGCATTTTAAAAAACAAATTTGGAATCAAAATATTTTTTTCATATTAGGGATGCAAACATTGCTGTTTTGACTAGCAAATAAACACCAACAATTTGAATAGATTTAAATCTTTAATAGCTGATTAATTATGGTTTGATACATTTTTTTATTGCAGTATAGTACTCACTCAAGCACTGCTTAAAATGCAGAGTGTACAAAGTTTAAATTAAGACATTGCAGATTTTGACTAAATATTTGGTTTAATATAAATAATGCCAATACCACACAATGTGTTGACAGGTACTTAACACTGTTATTTTACAATGGTTAGAATGGTGGGTGTAGAATTTATTCCTCTGCATTTAAACAATGTTCTGGGGGGGGGGAATAAACATTTGAAGATTTGAGAGCATGTGCACACAGAGACAACCCGAAAAAAAACCTTCCGGGACCAACAACCTACAATTGTGTAATGGATGTTGAAACTGTCCATTCAGCTCCTGAGTAATAAAGGTTTACAGTACTCTTGCAGGAAAATATCCTCTCTCTCCCTCCCTTCATCCATACTGAAAAATGTACCAAAATTACTCAAGCTTTTTTAAAAAAAACCTTTTTTGTAGATGCACATCAGAGGAGGGATGGAAAGTCTTTCTCCAGTTTGTATTTTACATTGTATTCTACATGCTTACCATTGAAGACACACTCATACAACAGCAATTTTAATTTTGGTTCATCACAAAAGATACATTTTAATAAAGTACAAAAAAACCTAGTTTTTTTGGTTTTAATCTGTAACTAAATACTTTTATTCACACATTCTCATTTTTTTATAATTAAAATTTTTTTATTTGCATTTTCAGTCAATTAAGCCAATTTCTTCCAAATCTTTTATAGTGAATGACATTGTCCCATAAACTGGATCATTTATTTCAGCTGAAGCCTCAATCAGCCCACCTCAGATGAAAACCTTGGACAAGTTTTGAGGAATAAAAAAAGGAAGCAGTTATGATCCATTAAACCGATATACAACTTCTCCAGACATTGCTATAAAAAAAACTTAATGCAGAACGTGTCGATGAACTGTGCATATAAGAAGTTAGAAAACAGCTGGACCATGCTGTAAACTAGGAAGCAGAAAGAGAGTGACATTTAGGACTTGTCCTCAGTAGATCACTATAAATTAAAAGTCAGTTTTGATTCAGCAGATCTTGTGCTGAATGCTGTCACTAATGTTAAGGTAGCTCAGGAGATAAGCTGTACAAATGCATAGCTAGTGCAAATATTCTCCAACTGTGGCAAACGCACATGAACCTATTCCCAATCGAGCCATCAACTCCAGACACTTTGAGGCCTGTCCAATGGCAAGGGCCAGCGGTGGTTGCTTTGGCAAATTGTGAGACTCTGAAATGATATAAAACAGACAATGAGAAAAATCAAATTAAACAGTAATTGAAAACTAACAAAACATGTAATTTCCAAACACTGCTAAATACTTTTTAAACTGAAGTAGAGAAGCCCTCTTGCTTTGAACAGTAAAAGCTCACTCTCATACTAGCTCACAAAAGTTCTATATTGTTTGGTGTATTTAGGTTCTGAACTATTTGAGAATCAACACTTAGCTGAAGGAATTATGGGCAAACCATTCAACAATTCAACAACAACTTGCATTTATTATGCATCTATAACACCCTTCACGCAAGGCAGCAACTTAATTGGAGTCCGCAGGAGTCCTACAGCTCAGTAGTTAGAGCACTCGCCTCGCAAGCGAGAGACCTGGGTTCGATTCCCAGCAGGGTGAAATGTTGGGCAAGTTTGCTTACTCTGTTAGCTAGCAGTAAGTAGAGACCCGGTTGTTAGTCGATTGGCGGATCACTTCTCTGGGGAAAATAATCCCTCAAAAAAAATAATAATTTGGCACTCAATCCACAACTGTTTGTGGGACCATTTGAAATGCACAGCAACCATACAGCCAATCATGGGGCTTTACAAGCAAGATATACAGGTTGGGACTTGGGATTAGAGTAACTGAAGGTCGAGAAAGAGTACGGAAAAGGAACGTCACAAGTTGGGCAAGTTTCCTTACTCCACATGCCTGTGTGGAGTAAGGAAACTCTCAAGAAATAAACAATTTAGTAACTCAATCCACGGCTGTTTGTGGGACACTACTGTGCGCAATTGGCTGCCACATTTTGCCCACAAATATATAGTTAATTCACTTTACTGAATATTCTGTGAAGCGTTTTGAGACGTCTAGAATACGTAAAAAATGCTGTATCAAATGCATGGATTATTATATATTAATTAATCTACATAATCTGAACATATGCTCTCAGGCTGGCAAGGACTAACTGTGAGTGCCCTCGGAACCTGTGTCGGGTCCCCTGATATATATATATATATATATATTATCTCTCTCTCTCTCTATATATATATTTACATAGAGTATAATTGTCATGTTTACAATTATGTGTGTGTGTGGGGAGGGTTCATGTAAAATTTTTGGTTAATAAAAAAAATTCCCCTGGGAACACAAGCCAGGGCAGGGGAGAGGAAGAATCAAAGCAAATTGAAGACTCAAACCTTATAATAGCTTGTAACATTCACTGCCTCCTCAAATGAGAGAAAGAAATCTCAGAAAGGAAATGTTATTTTGCTGGTCATCAATGGAAATGGAATTATTCTTTTTTGATGTTTTTAAATCCTATTCACAAATAGCAAAATCTTAATTCTTAAAATGTAACAACTGAGCTGGAAAGAATTAGTAACATATTCATTTTCTCTGCTGTAATCTAATACTCATGATGCAAACAGTTTTAAGAAAAGGTGGTCATGTAAATGTACCAGTTATATTTACCTAATATAGCACTATTCAATGCAGAACAAACTGGTTCTCTTTGTACTACGTCAAGCTGATATCCAACTGGACTGTTCCATGGATCTGAATAGGCAAGAAGACTAAATGCATCCTGAATGGAAAAAAAAGATAAACTTTAGTCCTTCCACACAGTAAAATATCAAGCTACCTACCCCTCAGCATAAAAATTGAAAATCAATTATTTCGAGCATCTAAGAAATTATTAACCCGAGATTTGATTTTGCCAATTCCCAACATAACACTGAAAACACAACAGCTTCTGTACAGCTCTAATGTCACAGAGACCAGGAGTTATAATCAAAAGAGAATTCAAATTTATTCAGTCTTGCTGTCTGACATTTCATCTAAGCGCTCGGTTTTCTTGCTAATCACTGTACGAGAGGACAATACATGGTACAGACATTTGTGGAAAGGAAGATGAAGTAGAACACTGGGAGAGATGGTGGGAAAAGCATTCTCCCCTTCACATCTGGGATTGTTGGCTCCGTACTGACTAACATGATGAATTCCTCCCGTTTGTGATGTTATGATCTTACAAGAATCAATGTGCCTCGATCCAGGTCCAAGGCCAAAGACAGTTGATGTCATACCCTTTTATACTTAAATATAGAAAAGAAAAAAATTCTCATATTGAAATGTTGGCAACAAGCTCCTCGGCTGTTGTAAAACACACATATAATACGACTTCTTTTAGAACTGATCCCGCACTGTTTCCTTGATTATTTTCTGGAGTATTTCAATAATTCCTTTCCCGCTTTTTATTCTGCAAAACAAAGCAACTCTTGCACTTCACAGCAAACATTTGGAATGACTTCAGTACCTGAAGTATCTTTTTATTGGCTGTGTTTTTGCCGCATTCTCTTCTCAGCTGCTCGCTCATGGCCTGCAATTCCCGTCCAAAATGAATCATGCGTTCAATCGCTGCTTGGCTGCCACCACAGAGCTGGCGTCGCGACTGAGTTAAGTCTATCTCTGCCCAGAGTTCAGAAAGGAACATATTTATTAGTTAAACTGCATTGTTACACTGGAAAAAATACACCAAAACAACACTCAGTCTTGGAAAAAAACTGAAAAATCTGAGTCAGCAAGCCAGCAACCAAACTAAAACAGGTTGAGTGCCTCAGATTGTTTAGATAGAAATACACATATTGCAACAAAATCCAAAATTGAACTGTTGTTTTTTAGGTCAATTCAATTCAATCTTTTCCTCCGCGCTAAAACACTAAATTAAGTGTTATTTGCCTAATTTAAATAGGCTATTAAAATGCGATAAGGAGATACAAAATGTATTCTGCAGGTTCCAATACAGATCCATGTAAAATGCAGTCAGTTACTTCTTATACATGGGATTTGATGTTTCTACGGAACTCAGTAGACTCCACAGTGAGCCACAACCATCCCAAGCCCGATAAACATTGTAGCACAGGGAAAAAAAATTAACCATCTTTAGAAAACACACTAGTATCAAATGAATTCTTCACACATCAATTTCAATATAATTGGGATACAATTGCATAATTACCATAGATATTCTCTGCCTTAACTAAGTTCTCTTCCACCTTCTGAATGATATTAACACCCAAAAGTGGCTAAACTTGTTGCAAACCGCTGTCTGTCCAGCTCAACTCGCATCGTTGAGTCAGAAAGTTGTGAGTTCAAGCCCCACCTCAGGACTTGGAGCTTAACGTCTTGATTGACATTCCAATGCAGTGCCAGGAGAGTGCAGTGCAGTGCCATCTTTCAGTTAGGATATTAAACCCCAGCACCCATCTGGCTGTTCAAGTGGACCGTAAACATCCTGTGTCATTTATTGAAAACAAAAGGGAGTTTCTCTGGATGTCCAGGCCTCCAGATAAAATTGTGTATTCATTTTTGTTTGTAGGACGCTGCTGTGGACAAGTTGCCTGCCACGTTCAGCTATAAATATGTAGCTTACACTTTGTATAGAAAATCTCTGATGCGTTTAAGACGTTTCAAAACAATAAGGCTCTATATCAAATGTAAGGATTATTATTTAGAATTCCCACTTTTGAGCCTACAGTTTTCAACCTTTACAGGTAATAGATTTAAGTAGGTTATTCAAGTCCATTAAAGTGACATTGAGAAGCCCCAGTCGAGATCCCAACCTTTCACATGAGCGGCACAAGAACATGAAGTGTCCAGTAGCTAACTTTACAGGCTACTCCTGCCTGAGTTAGTTGCTGATTGTTTTGGACCCTGCTGCACAGGTGCATGGAATACCAGCCTCACTGTTGAGCATCTGAAACACAGCCTTATGAAGCAGGAATTCAGGGGTTGGCAGCTCAACAATTTTGGGTCAGGTTTAGGCGCTACCTTTATAATAATACTTGCATTTGATATAGCGCTTTTCACATCTTCTTGTCGTCTCAAAGCGCGTCACAGAATAGACTGTAAAGTGAATTGACTGTATATTTGTGGGCGAAACGCGGCAGCCAATTGCGCACAGCAGTGACCCACAAACAGTCGTGGATTGAAAATGACCATTTATTATTGTTTTGTTTCGGAGGGATTATTATCAGGGTGTGGAGTAAGGAAATTTGCCCAAGGTTTCGCCCTGCCTGGAATTGAACCCAGGTGTCTCGCATTTTGAGATGTCGAGAAGACATGAAAAGCGCTATATCAAATGCAAGGATTATTATTATTATTGTTATTATTCCAAGATCTGCTTCAAGTCCTATTTCAGACGTAAGTAATCTTACCCATTTCAGGATCATTTTCATCCATGTCATGGTCGTGCTTGGAACTGCCATTAACGAAACCATTAGATGAAGACTCCACCACACCATTGGTATAATGGTCTGTTTCCATATCTATATCATTGCTGCAGAACAAGAGAAACATGACAGAAACCCAGAAACTTGCAAAGAAAGACTGATACCTATTTTCCTAAAAGATAATCTTGCAGCAATGCACTCACATAGACAGTTACTGGATTTTTCCCTTACATTCATTTCTCCCTTTTAAAAATCTTCTCTAGAATCCACTCCAGACAACAACAAAAAAAACAAAATTATATTTGTATAGCGCCGGGAGGACGTCGCAATGTGCTGGACAGACAGAGTTACGGACCCGAGCTGAGTGTCGAGGTGCGGAAGGCCCGCCCGCCGATAGTGGGGCGAGCAAGGCAGGGGACATGAAGCAGGCCGGAGCCCACTGAGCGGAGGGAGCGAACAGGGTTAGGAGGTTAGGAGGTCAGAGAGGTAGGGGGGAGCAAGACCATGGAGGGCTTTGAAGGTAAGGACCAGGATCTTGAACTGTATCCTCTGTGTGATGGGAAGCCAGTGGAGTTGGGCAAGGATGGGGGTGATAGGGTCGCGAAGCCTGGTGCGGGAGAGGACATGGGTTGCCGAGTTCTGGATGATCTGTAGCCTGTAGAGGGAGGAGTTGGGGAAGCCGACAAGCAGTGAGTTTGCATAGTCGAGCCTCAATGTAACGAATGCGTGTATGAAGGTTTCGGCGGTCTGCGGTGTGAGACAGTGGCGGAGCCGGGCGACGTTGGGGAGGTGGGGGAAGGCAGAGCGGGTCACGGCGCGAATGTGGGGTAGAAACGATAGTTGAGGGTCAAACAAGACCCCAAGGTTCTGGACTGGCTTAGTAAGGTGGAGTGTGCAACCATGGATGGTGATGCTGTCAGCGCCTGAAGTGAGGAGGCACTGATGGGAGCTCAGGAGAGCCTCGGTCTTGTGGACATTCAACTGAAGAAAGTTGGCTCTCATCCACTGATTTATTCCCAAGATTCTGCCACTGCTGGTCCCTGGTCCTTTAATTCCACTCTAAGGTCAAGCTAAATCTTCCATTACAATCCCAACCATTCGAAATGCTACTCTATCAAATATCCTCTCTCCATCCAAAGATGATTTGGTGGTTACTATGATTAACGAACATTATGGACAGGATGAACAGAATTTAACTCATCAGACCTGCAATGCATCCAAAGAGATGCTTTGTTTCTAAATGAGACCCAACTGTGCACCAGGAGCTTTTTTGAGCTCAAATCTTTGCATCCTGGTAGGAGATGACACAAATATTAAAGGTTTCGGATTGTACATCTTCATATACCCTGAAAACGTAACTTAGGTTATCTATATAATTACCCAATCACTTATAGTTCCCCAAATAGATGGGAATAATTTATTCCTCTTGCTTAAAAAACAAAAAAGATTTCTACTTTAAAACTGCTTTGTAGAAAGATTTTGTAGAAATATCACATTTAAATCCTCCACATTAATAAAACACCAAAGAATAGGCAGCAAAGCACAATTTAAAAGAAATGAAGTTGCAGTGAACATAAATCAATCCGCTCGTAAAGGTTTGGAGAAATCCAGCCACCCACCCACAACGCCGAGCTCTCAGATGGAACCTGGGAGAGGCCTTTCAGTTTAGGAGGTCTTCAAATAGAAAAAGATTTTGTATGAGACGGATTGAATCGTATATAATTTATGCAAAATGTTACATTTTAGTGACTTAGCAAGTAGGAAGAGAATAAACCAAAGACAAAAAACACTTACTTTGCGTCTCTGCTGTTACTATTTGATTGCTGAGATCGTGTAGCATTTAGACTATTTAGTTCTGGGGTACTTAAACAGGAGGCGGAGTGCTTAGTATGACTACTGGACTGATGAGTTTTACTAGATATTACACCGTTGCTACAATTATTTTCATAACCTGCCAAAATATGAAACACATAGCCATTAAGATGTACCTGTTCCACCACATTAACAGCAACACTGACTCATGCACCCACATGCCATATTGTATTAACTGTTCATAGGTGATGAACACTGCACTCATCAAAATTTAATAATAATTTTAGCTAACATTGTATCACCCAAACCCTTATATTTTTGTTGTGGGGATTCGCACAGTAACTTTTGTAAACTATTCACAAATATCTTCTGTGTTTGACATGTCAAGAACCCATAATTAAAAAAAGCTTCCAATCCAAGATAGTGCAAAGAGGAAAAGAAACTATACACAGGACAGCTGAACACAACTATAGCAGAAGATAGTCCTGCTATTGAGCAAGTGTGGGTATAACCCAGACATGAATCCCAGAACTGCAGACACAGGTGGTCTATTTTGTGAGATTCGCAAATTGCTTTGCAACTAACAAATTGCATGTATTGGATGTGTCGGATGCCACTCCTTCCCCCGGAACACCCCTCTAACACCCTCTGACTTCTGGATCGTGGCCAGAAATCTCCTAGAACTGAGCAGGAGGTGGGTGTTGGAGCAGAGTTCCTACAACTCAGCTTCCAATATTTCTGGGTTCGTGCATTAACAACAACAATTTACATTCGTATAGGACCTTTCACGTCAGGAGGATGTCCCAAATAGCTGGATGCTACAAATCAATTTGTGACACTTGCAACCCTGACACCAATATAATTTCAAATGTCACAATATTATTTTTCTTGCCTCTTCTCTCCTAGTCAATGGGGAGGGGGGCAGGGAGATCACAGCCAAGCCGAGAAATTAGAAACTCTGTCTAATTTTCCCCTCTCTGATGCAAGAGCAGAGATAAATTAACACCCCAACTGCTACCTGGCTGAGTACAGATTCAAACCTGCACCATTCTGGTGTGTAACCCATTGGGCTACGAGGGAAGGCCTGCGCTGAAATGCTGGTGAAAGTACTGAATAATCGTGTCATGATAGATTCCAAACCTGAAGCATTTCTTGACACAGATGCCATTACCTGTAAAGTGACTATGTGCACCATTCCCTTTGCCTGCTGCTAGGGTATGGATAGTGCTCCCATGGCTGGGACTCATGCTGGGGCTGTTGAAGGTCCTAGGGCTACCTGGGTAGCTGTCTTGGGACTTTGGACTTCGGCCTCCTAGACAACGAACTTCACTGTCTGTCCCGTTCACCATTTCTATAAATTGACGAACTCTGGAAAACAAACACACAATGAAACACATACACATACGCACAGCAGATTTTTTTTAAAAATAGAAAAATACACACACAACAGATGGGGTGGGGTAATTGTCGCTGTGATATTAATAACAATTTACATTTACATACAGAGCATTTCACATCAGAAGATGTCTCAAATCACTTCACACACTCGATATCCAAGCTGGGGGGTGGGGAAGAGGTGGGGGGAAGTGACTGAAAGTGGAAACGAAAAGATAGGTCTTGAGATGAGCTTTAAGGGTGGGGAGAAAGACGGCAAGCAGGTGGGATGCCAGGATGGAGTCCCGGAGAGCAGGGCCAGAATGGCTAAAAGCCCACCCACCAATGGTGGGATAGATGGGTGGGGCACACAGGTGGGGGAAAGAGTGCGCATTCCATTCCAATAATCTAACTCTGGGATTTCCATGTGTAGATGGGATGCCTGGAATTCTCAGTTTGGTTTGGATGCTCTTAAGCATGGTGATGGGTTTCCATGTGCTGGACACCCTGCTGACCAAAGAAAGTGGATGGGCGACATGAAGCAGCCCAGTATCAATGGGACAAGATCGGTCAGGATAGTTAGGCTCTGGAACTCGCTGGGAACGCTCAGCAGGTCAGGCAGCATCGATGGAGAAAGGAAAGTCAGTCAACCTTTCGGGAAACCCGAAACGTTGACTGACTTTCCTTTCTCCATAGCTGCTGCCTGACCTGCTGAGTGTTCCCAGCGCTTCTGTTTTTGTTTTAGATTTCCAGCATCTGCAGTATTTTGCGCTTAGTCAGGCTGCAGGTTTAGTTCTATGTAGGGTCGCTTACTGGGGTTTTATTCATAGATTCATAGATTCATAGACTGTTACGGCATAGAAGGAGGCCATTCGGCCCATCGAGTCTGTGCCGGCTCTTTGACAGAGCAAGTCACTTTCACTTACTCCAATCACCAGCTTTCTTCCCATAACCCTGCAAACCCGTCTTCCCCAGATACCTATCCAGTTCTCTCTTAAAAGCTGTTATCGAATTGGACTTCACTGCCCTTTCGGGCAGATCATTCCAAATTCGAACAACTCGCTGAGTGAAAAAATTTCTTCTAACCTCCCCTCTGCTTCTTTTGGTAGATATCTTAAGACTGTGACCACGACACACCAACCAGCGGAAACAGCTTTTCCCTATCTAGCCTGTCGAAACCTTTCATGATCTTGAAGACCTCTATCAGGTCCCCGCGTAACCTTCTCTGCTCTAATGGGAAACATCCTAACTTCTCCAGCCTGTCCTCATAGCTAAGGTTCCCCATTCCTGGTATCATTCTCGTGAATCTCCTCTGCAACCTTTCCAGTGCCTTAATGTCCTTCTTGAAGTAAGGTGCCCAGAACTGGACGCAGTACTCCAGCTGAGGCCTAACCAGTGTTTTGTATAGATTAACCATAACCTCTCTGCTCTTATACTCCATGCCCCTACTAATGAAGCTCAGTACACCAAATGCCTTTTTTACTGCCTTATCTACCTGCCCCGCTACCTTTAATGATTCGCTTACTTGAACACCCAGATCTCTCTGTATGTTCACCCCCCTTAAGATTGAGCTACCAAGTCTATATTGCCTCCTATCATCTTTCCTACCTAAGTGTATCACCTCACGCTTATCCACATTGAAATCCATCTGCCACATGTCAGCCCATTCTACCATTCTGTGTATGTCTGCTTGCAGTTGGTTACAGTCCTCCTCACTATTCACTATTTATTTATTTATTTATTTATTTTAATTTTGACTGATATCAATGTTTCTTTTACTTTTATTCTTTTGGGGATATTTTTGATTTTTATAAATATCTTCGACCATAAACTGTCTGATCTCCAGATGATAAGATCACCCCAGACCCCAGCACCTGTGTGCTGTGCATTCACGCTAGACTCGTCAAATCCAACATCACCTCCAGTAGCTCGGTTTTGTAGTTCAAAAGAAACGATGAACAAAACTGTTGTTCCATGACGGAATTAATTTTGCTCGATTGGGAGAGAATTCGAAAACTCAACAAATACTAATTAAAATCGTAAACCACCAAACAAACAACCCAAATTACATTTGTATAGCGCTTTCACGTCAGGAGGACGTCCCAAGGCGCTGGACAATCATTGTTTCGGACCCGATTGGGGAGGGTGGAGGGCAGGGGAGGGAAAGAGGGTGATCAAAGGCACGGTTGAAGAGGAGGGTCTTGAAACGGATCTTGAAGGAGGCAAGGGAGGGGACTGAGCGGAGAGAGTGGGCAGGTTGGTAGGGGGTTAGGAGGTCGCAGTAAACAGGCTTATTTAGCAAGGCAAAAGTTATGTTTTCTTCAGTTCTCTGGTAAATAATAATAATCCTTGCATTTTGATATAGCGCTTTTCACGTTGGGAGGATGTCCCAAAGCGCTTCACAGAACACACTGTAAAGTGAATTGACTGTATATTTGTGGGTGAACGCGGCAGCCAATTGCGCACAGCAATGTCCCACAAACAGTCATAGATTGAAAATGACCAATTTATTATTGTTTTTTTTTTGGAGGGATTATTATTAGGCGTGTGGAGTAAGGAAACTTGCCCAAGGTTTCGCCCTGCCTGGAATTGAACTCAGGTCTCTCGCTTGCAAAGAGAGTGCTCTAACCACTGAGCTACAGGACTCCACGCCTAAAGTAGCCTTCACTCATGCAAAAGCTCTAAACTATACTGTGTCCAATGGACCCACTACAATCTGGATGGTCCTAGGTTTCTTCCCTGATTTATGCTGTGTTATTTGATCTCAGTCAAGTATTAGCAGAGGTGCTCATTTAGCCTCAGCATGTGGGTATGGAGAGGGGAAAACCAAAAGAGGCTAAGATATTGTTCCTGATTGCAATTCATTCATCCCTGCTGGAAAGTGCATATGTGTGAAGGTTCAATGGGAACAGAATCAGGGCTGGAGTCAGTTGTTACATTAACACTCGCCTAGCAAGCTCACATGATGAATGGCCAATTTGGAAACTGATAACTATTCAGCAGTGCTTCCCTCGGGGGGATGGAAGAAAGAGAAATCAAATTTAAATCCCATGTAATGTATGGATATTATAGTTTAACTAAAATTTGATCCATGAGATTTGGAATGAAACTCAAACCAAATTGGGAAAAAAAATTATTGAACATTACAGCCCATTTAGGTCTAAGTTGCTCTGTTTCCATATAATCATACTCTCTTCTTCATTCTCAATACCCTTTAATATTCTTAGCATAAACACTTCTTGGTAATCAGGCAATAATTATAATTTTGTTTTTTAAAAAAGAGAAAAGCAACAGGGCTAGAAATATGAATACAAAATGTGACATAGCAAAGATGCAGTCATGTGGTATTGTGGAGAAAACCAGTTCCTTGGAATTTTCATTAACTTACTTTAACATAAAGAGAAGATTTGGTTTTCTTTCAAGTAAACCTGGATATAATTGCTGTGTTGTTTCAATTGCTTCCCCCATTCTTCCAGCTAGCACCAATTTCTGAATTCCTGTAAAATAAATAGACTTCATGGTAGCCAAGTTTATTGAAGTACTGTGGTGAACATCGGTTCAACAAGTGTAGAATTCTGCAAGTTTCTCAGGAATATGTAGTCTCATAGTGTCAACAAGCTATAGCCATCCAAGAAATTACTAAAACCAGATTGATTGATTGAAATGGCATTTTATTTTTATTTAGTTGAAAACTAGACGTGCATCAGCAATGACCTATTATTAAACTTCTGACTTACTTTATATTCCCCCATCAGGGAAGTTTCAGATAAAGCCACTTGAAGGAAATTGTTTTCAAAACCCATCAAATGCTGCACACTTCACAAATTTCTGTCTCCTTACACGTACCATGACAAGAAACAAATAGGATTGACAGAATAGATCCAGAAAAATTACCAATGCAGACTACCATTATAGTTCTGCTAGTCCTCTTTCTAAAACAAAAATTACCACAGTTCCTTTGCTTCAATAGTCCGTTACTGGGTTTATGTCACTCAGAAAAATGAATGTATTCACTCGCACTCATGAGTCTCATGAATTATGTATTCACAATTCTGAAATAAATCCAGTAATGCATGGCTACTGGTGTGATAAAATAAACACAGGCAGAGTCTTCTCAGCAGCATTAGTCTACATACAACTTTGCATTTCCCTTTCAATTCAAGCGTATATCACATCCACATTGTGGTTTTACACAGAGCTTCCAGTAAGTGCAAAACACTCATGACAGAGTAAAGAATGAAATCATAGCAAGAATAAAATGAGGAAAGATCATGTGACTAATCAAGCTTCTCTGCTCAAAAATCATGTGCAACCTATTCAATCTTGAGGTTCAATCCAACAATTTTCAGACTCTGCAATAATTCTCACTGTCACTGAACGGTAAATCGAGAAATAGATGTCTTCCCAACGTGAAAAGCACTATACAAATGTAATTTTGTTGTTGTTGTTGTTAATGTGTCTGAGCATCTGAAACAAAATCATATTCCCACTCAATCCTTTCTTTAATAAAATAGGTCTGTATGTTTCTTTTCATAATAAAATAACCCTTGCATTTGATATCACACCTGATCACATCTTTGAGATGTCTCATAGCGCTTCAGAAAATATACTGTAAAGTGAATTGACTGTATATTTTGTGGGCGAAAGGCGGCAGCAATTTAATTTAATAATCCTCATAATTTAAGAGCATCAAATCCCAGAATCACGCTAATCTTTCCTCTCTAAATGCCCTCCATTGTCTTGCTCCTCCCTACCTCTGTGAACTCCTAACTCCCTACCATCCTACCCGCTCCCTCCGTTCAGCAAGCTTCACGTCCCCCACCTCGCTTGCCCCACCATTGGTGGGCGGGCCTTCTGCCACTCTGCCTCCACCTTCTGGAACTCTGTCTCACAGTTCCTCCGCCTTGCCCCCTCCCTTGCTTCCTTCAAGACCCATCTCAAGACCCTCCTCTTCGACCGTGTTTTTGATCACCCTGCTTTTCCCCACCTGCCCTCCACCCTCCCCGATCCCGACTCCCAGCTCGGGTCCGAAACTCTGACTGTCCAGCACCTTGGGATGTCCTTCCGAAGTGAAAGGTACTATACAAATGTAATTTTGTTGTTGCTGTTGTTGTCTATAAAGCATTGTGAGCTGGTAGGTAGGAACTGCAAACAAGACAAGGAAGGTCCATTATTTAAGTGTATAAGCACACGTGCCTAATACACCAGGACTAGTTAATAATTAAGACCACTTCCAATTCCCTTTGTACGCAAGAATTTACTCAACTCACAAAACTTTACTCAATATCCTAAATATCGCATCACAAGTGATCTAAGTTAAAATGCTGGATTAAAAAACAATTGTATTCAATTCTCTGATAATTGTTAATAACTAAAATGGATCAAATACATTAAAATCCACCTGCTATTCCTCGGGCGATCCACTCAATTAGTGCTGGTCCCTTTGAATCCATTTACCCTTGCTTATGTGTGAACTTGGCCATATAACGTGATAAAGGGGTCTAATATTTGGCAATTTCTGACAAAATACCTTAATAAGGAAATTGGAATTATGTTACGAAACTCTCAGGAACTCCACTCTGCTACAGTCTACTTTTGGGGGAGTGTTTCTATGGGTCCATAATGACATTGGGATATACATCGGTTACTGTCTCTTCAAGAGTATGTTAAAAAGTTAGAAATCACCACACTCAGAACCCTTTATAGAACATTTCAATGATGCAAAGTAGTTGGCTAAAAAGGCAGTACAATTTCAGAAAGGGAACACAAACTTATATATTTTAAAAACTCTCGATACAGTATTTCAACAGAGCGCAACAAGCGAATACTGTTAAATTTATACTCACTTTGTCTATTTTTAATGGATGCCAGTTCCTCCTGGAATGCCTGTCCGGTGGATCTAGCAAAGGCTTCTGCTGTTGCACAATAACCATGATGCACTAAGTAAGACGAAACCATTCTATAAAATGAAAAGTTTGGAAGAATAATAAAACAATATTCTAAATGTTACTGCTGTAGCCAGCAGCTAAGAGGCAGCATTATTTCAAATTTTCCCAAATGCGCAAGACAAAAATCAGTTCTAAAAATGGTTACACTGAATATCATAATGTTCTAGTACTTCAAAGTAGAATGCGTAATGCTACAAAGAGGACTTTGGGAGATAGGTCAGAAACCATTACATTCTTACCTGCTTGAATGCTTGAACAACAAAGGTTATAATTAAATGGAGCAGTATACTTAGGTGGGTTCGTTTTAGGCAGCAGAATTATGACACTAACAACCTGCATACCCAGGTGCTTCTCAACCAAGACCAACAGTTCCTTCTGAAATGTTAGACATGCTGCAACCATTCCTTCCTGCACATCTACATCTCAACCCAAGATTCCTCAGGCAATACATGTAGGAAGAAACTGTCCAAGTACCTAATCTCACCCCATAACATCAGGGCTTGAAGGTTAGAGAATTAAGTGTTGGATCAACCAACTATGATTTTTTTTAAAAATCCCTATACTGAGAGGAAATTAATCTTACACTAGTCCAGCACATATCACTTGTCCTAAAGATACATCCATCAGGATTGAGACCATCATTTTTTCATGCTCAAGTCTCTGGGCAAACACTGTAACTTTGGTATTTATTTTAACTGAACCTTTTGTAGTTTCTAAATTCGGTGGGGGTGGGGGGGGGGGAGGATCCTTTGAATAGGAAAAGGATGGTTCCTTGCAGTTTCAAACAAGTTGCCTAGCTTGAAAATATAGTATTCCACGAGCCTATATTTTGAAGAGTCCAACGTGCATTTTTAAATTTATAAAATCATAAGATATCAATTAATAAGTACCCAATACCCTAGAGGCAGACCTTTCTCTCCCCTGTGCTGTGTGACCAGACATTCAGAACTGTCTGTGTGTGTGAGTGTGTGTGAGAGCGCGTGTGTGTGAGAGCAAGTGTGTGAGAGTGTGAGTGTGAGAGAGTGTGAGTGTGTGTGGGAGGGCGCACATTTGGGTAATGCCTATTGAATAAATTATTTTCTAATTTAGAGACACGTTAGACCCTATTAACTGCAATTAACTTTGTGATATACTGTCAGCATAGTCATCAACATTTTGGTGAAAAACTGAATATGAAATTATACACCAAGATTTTTGGAGCAACAAAACACTAAAATTGTAAAATTTAAGCCACTTAAAATGTATAAATTACATTTAACTAGAAGCATGAAGAGGTACTAAATCTTTAAACTTCAATGAATATCTGGAAGGTTGCAAGTAATTGCTAAAACCCATCTATAAACGATATTTCAGTTTGATAAATGTGACTGTACATAGTGGGACTGCAGGCAATACATCACCTACTTTTGAATCATTGTCTGCCATTCGCCTTCTCGATCTCCTACAGGGAATCTTTCAATCTGGGTCTGAATCTTAGACCTCCATTCTCGCATATAGTCCTCTATATCAAATACAAATGGATGCTGTCCAAAATTGGCATCCACCACTTCTCCTGGAGTTTGCAATCCAACAGTAGGATATAAATTTGGCTGCACAAAAAATGAGGATATAATGTAATAGACAATAATCGATTTGTTTATAATTAACCATTTTGCAACTCATAATTTACATAATGGGTTAACTGTCATAAGAAAACACATTATTCAAAAAACAAAGGCAATCCATTATCACAGAGCACTGAACCAGCACTTTATTCTTATAACATCAAGGTGATAAGGTGCACTTAGAACAACACCTAATATGTCCCACTACCCCCAACACACCAAATATCACCTCAAATACCCACAATAATTATTTGGGATGCTTATTCAACAAAAAAATGGCACCATAGCTTGGAAGTTGCAATCTTAACTTTCAAATGTAAGGCCTCAAAAGGTGACCATTAGAGCTGGCTTAATTTCATTTAATTGCAGCTTCAGAAACAAATGCTTTTATCTGCCCATCATTGAATGGTATGCAGCAGTCAGAGCAAAGAGTTAAGCAACCATAAAAATTTTAAAATGAATAAAAAGTTGTCCAGAACAGTTACATTCATAGCATTAACAAAAGCCAGTTCCATTACTAGGACTCTTGCCTCTGAGAAAGAAGGCTGTGGATTCAAACACCAACTTAGGACTTGGAAATCATAGTTTAGACTGCTACTCCAATGCAGAGATACGCTGCATTGTTGGAGCTGCCGTACTCTGAATTGAGACATTAAACCAAGATCCCACGTGTATGTTTAGGTGGACATTAATGATTCTATGACAATCTCCCAAATAAAATTGGGTATTCATTTCATGGCTGTTTGTGGACATTGCTGTGTAAAAATTGCCTACCATGTTTGCCCACAAAGCACACAATCCACTTTACAGTAAATCCTGTGAAGCACTTTGGGTTGTCCTGCTGACGGGAAAGGCAACGGGAAAGGTACTACACTAAATATAAGGGAATATTATTATTATTGTGGGACATTGGGTGAAAATTGGCTGTAGTGTTTGGCTACAAAATAGAAAATGAAGTGCTTTGAAACATCCTCTTGACATGAAGAAGCACTATATTAAATGCAAGGGTTCTTATTAACTGCACAACTTCTTCTCCTTCCCACTCATATTCTGCCCACATTTCTTGCATGTCTAAGTCACCAAGTTGCAGTAGTAAAAGATTTGTTTCCCCATTGAATTAAAATACCTAGATTCCAACACAACTCATGCACAGAGCCAGAACAACAGCAATCCTGTCCTTCAATCAAATCAATCTCTTAACCTATTAATCTCTCAACAGAGTAAATATACTCCTTTTGAAATGACCTAACCCTCAAACTAGGATATATTCTATTAAACCTCAGAAATAGCATTGACAGCAACTTTCTTTGAATTTACATTGTATGGCTCCTGTGATGTGGAAAGAGAATACACAACAAATTCTGCCTCTGGGTTGGTTTGGTAGATCTATTCTGTTAATGACAACAGTGTCAGTCCTGGCAATCATTCTGGCAATGTGAATAGTGTGTGTTGTGGGACATGACTGTCACGCTTTCCTACAAATACAGTCACTACACTGCACATTCAAATATTGAAGCGCTTTGAGACGCCTCAACGACGTGATAAGATTATTTCAAATGCAAGAATTATTATTATTATAATAGAGCCACTGAAGCAAATCATCTTAAATGCAACACACTCGTCGCTTTCCATGGTATCAGGCAAAAACAACAATTTGCATTTTTATAGTATTCTTTATGGGGGTAGCCTAATGGGGCACTTAACAGTGGTGGAGCTTGACGCCGAGCCAGGGAAAAAGGGGGAGGTGACTGAAGGCAAGGTCGAAGAGGAAAGTCTTCAGCTGTGATCTGAAGATGGACAAGGGGGGGGGCAAGGGGGAGGGCTTGAGGCAGAGTTCCAGAGTCTTGGGGCATTAGTGGCTGAAAGTACAGCTGCTGATGGTGAAGCAGAGGGGATAAGGGACGTACAAGAAGCCGGAGCTGGCTGAGCAAAGAGGACAGGTAGAAGAGCGGGTCTAAGCAGATTGGCGAGGTAGGGAAGTGCTAGGGCATGAAGTGATTTGTAAGCTAGTAGGATCGTAAAATCGATCTGTTCTGCAAAAGGGAGCCAGTAGAGCATGGCAAATACTGGGGTGATGGTAGGATCCAATTGATTGGTATTGCAGAACAGCAGGGAAGTTGTGGCCTGAGCTGGGAGGAAATAGTGTCAGTTTCAAAGTTTCACTCCAGAAGTACAATTTAAGTTATTTTTACATGGTAAATTAAGAAAGCCATCTTGATCTCAGAAATATTTTCTGCCAATCCAGTCATACTATTTAACACCTTGACTAGCAAAAGCTACAATGCAGCTAGAGGGTGGAAGAAGGGGAAAGGAGCTTTGGGAACAAAAATGGTAATTTGTAATTTAGTTTTGTTAGAGTACATAAGCACACTTTTAGAAGGTAAACCATTTTTAAAATCTTGAAATTATAGCTTTTAGTAAGCACAAAGAGGAAGGTCTTCAGTCGTGATCTAAAATAGGGGAAGGAGGGGGCAAGGCGGAGGGATTAAGTGAGAGATTCAAAGCTTCGGGGCAAAGTGGCTGAAAGTGCGGCTGCCGATGGTGGAGAGGAGGAGGGACAAACATGAGGCTAAAGCCAGCTGAACGGAGGCAGCAGGTAGTGGAGTGGGGAGAAAGGTAGGGAGGTGCCAGGGCGTGATGGGATTTGTAGACGAGAGAGATCTTGAAATCAAAACTTTCACACCTAGCCTTATCTGGAAGAGTCTCATTCACATGGAATTTAGGGTATAGCAAAGACCAGTTCAGCAAGTCCCAAGAGTGGGCTACTTGCCAATTTAGAAAAAGAGTTGCTAGAATTTATAAAACTAGTTCTCCATAAGGGTCTAATTTCTCTAAGACATCGTATTTGAATTTTAGATCAATGCAGCTTGAATTCTCCTCTCTACAGTAAGATGAAAGACTGCAATGGTATGCAGACCTAGGTACTGATGTATGAGGTGCTTTTGTAACTGAATTTACCAGCTTAATAGTCTGTCAGTGGTGCTGATATGGGGATACCAAGAGAGATGCGTTTGAGGAAGGGGAGGGAAACAAGTGAACATTTTCAGATCCCCCCCACCCATCCCCCGGCCCGGTCGTCTGACTTGTTGTATGCCTATTTCAAAATTGTTTTTCTTCCATGGACAGCTGGTGTGATTTGCTGCTGCTCTCCTCAAGGTTGGTTGTTTTGCTATCCGCAACTATTGCATTCTATGGTCGCTTCAATTGAAGATCGTCTTCAATTGATGACAGCAATGAGCTTCAAGTTCTGCATTGCCTGTTGTGTGGAGTTTCTAATTACTGAGTCATTGTTCTCTTGTCACCAACTGAATAGCTTAAATCTTAATTCCAAATCATGGCAAGAAAGACTGAAGTGCTGGAAAATTGTTTTCCCAAACTGAATCTTAAAGTGTTTACATCACAGATGGCTACTGTCCCAATTGTGTCTGTGAGGGAGCTATCTACTCTAATCCCACTCCGCTGACCAGTACATTAAGACATATGATCAGAAATTCTCGGTGTATACTGAATTAGTTAATCTCACAGTACTGCAGTCTGGGCCAATACAATGGTCTGTCTCCGTGCTCCTGGGTTGGTTGCGAGCAGGGAGAGGAGGAGAAAGTCAGCCACGGTTACACTCCTAATAATTATCCAGTGAACCCAGCTGCTAAATGCACATAGGTGGATGTTGGACAAGTGCAGGATTGGCCTGAACTGTGATACTTTACACAGTTGAATTGCCCATCAACAATCACTGCTTTGGGGCACACATGATGAATATGCAACTGTGCCTCAGCAAAATAACTTTCAGAAACATGGGGGAAACAATTAGCAAAACAAAAGTTCCTACAGTTTCTTGACATAAAATAGCAGTTATACCGAGCCTTAGAAAACTAACAAAAAAGTGTAATCTTGATGGTAGTAACAAAAGATCTAACGATATCTACACGGTTCATGCAAAAGTACAGTAACAAGATTTACTCTCACTATTTCTCCCTCCTCTTCACCAGCATATTGCCAGGTTAAAAAAGCACTTCCTGAACTATTGTTGGAAAAAATACATTTCATTTTAATGACAACAATTACAACAATTTTAAAAGCAGGTTTAAGGTACATACTGTTAAAGATATTGTCTTACCGGTAGATCTGTGAAAGCGATGCCTGTGACAAAAAGAAATGTGCAATATGAGAAACGACTGTTTGCATGTTACCTCTTTAGAATTTTGAAAGCTTCACAAATCACAAGCACTGCAAGCAGATCTCTCGCATGGAAAAATACTTGATATTCCTGCTGCTACATGCACATCATTCTGCAGTTCACTGCGTTAGTAGCCCATCAACATAAATAGACATTTTCAATTGTTAATTCTAATCGCAAGATTTAAAAACAAAGATCACAAAACAACAAAAGTACTAAGAGATCTCAGTTATCTAGCAACAGTATTAGTTGGTTGGTTACTCAAAATCTAACTGCTCGCAAAAATGTTAAACCTTTTCGGTGATTGTGAATATTTGAGAATGGTTTAGGCCAGTAGTGACCAAGCTTTATGGTTGGCCAACAAAATAAATTAGAAACTCACTACTCTAGTGCCCAAGTATAAAGAATTACATTTACATAAAATGCTAGATACTAAAAGCAGAATTGTTGTCAGAATGTAGTGAATGAACTGAATCACAGATATCTCATTAAACACAAATATCAACAAAACATATACCCAAACAGTTCAAAATGGAAACCACTATCTGCAATGAGTGTTGCCTTAAGGTCTGTATAAATGTCATAATCCCAATGGATTATTCCCTGAACAATGTGCAGTGTCCAAAACAGCATTGCCTTAACCTCACTGCATTGCCAAGAAAAAAANGGGAGAATAATTGGCCACATATAATGCAATAGATTACATGTTATATTAATGGAAGCAGATGCATCTTCAACCTCTGATTTTAAGGTTGTGACCCCTGGTTTTAGTTTCTCCAACCAGGGGAAACAATCTCCCACTATCTACTCTATCATGCCCTTTGATGATCTTATAGGTTTCTATAAGATCCCCTCTAATTCTTCTATATTCTAGAGAATATAGGCCCAAATTGGTCAGCCTATCCTCGTAACTCATTCTCTTCATCCCTGGTACTAACCCAGTAAATCTACGCTGCACCCCCTCCGAGGCAAGTACATCCTTCCTTAAATGAGGGGACAAAAACTGGACACAGTATTCCAGGTGTGGTCTCACCAGGGCCCTATACAGTTGCAGCAAGACTTCCCTACTCTTATACTCTAATCCTTTCATAATGAATGCTAACATACCGTTCGCCTTCCTAATTTCTTGCTGTACCTGCAGACTAACTTTCTGTGATTGGTGTCCAAGGACACCCAAGTCCCTCTGGACGCTAACACATTCCAATCTCTCCCCTTCTGAAAAATAACCCGCTCTACTGTTTTTGCTACATAGGTGGATGAATTCGCACTTCCCTACATTATACTTCATCTGCCACTTACCTGCCCAATCACCTAACCTATCTAAATCTCGCTGCATTTTTTAATGTCGATGGGTTTTAGTTCAATGAGCTTTAGTTCAATGGGCTCTAAACCAGGCTTCAAGATGACTGCAATAAAAGTGAAATATTCAACAGATCCAGCTGTTTTGCTTTAGCCTATTGAAAAAATATTAGCTAGGCTAGCTCATTTTTTGGAAACCATTACTCCAAGTTGACCCAGGGAAAAGAGGTGGTGGCAGCTTTTCTTAATCTAAGGATTAATTAATTGTATAAAACTCTCCAAATATTAATAATATACCCAGTTCAGTAATGGACCCACCACATATACGGTTTATGTAAGTAACAGAAGATTCAGCGTATTCTATATATAATATATATATAGAATTCAGTATATTCTGTGAAGCGCTTTGAGATGACTCATAACGTGATAAGGCGTTATATCACACGTCTTCCTCTTGCAAATTAATCTGCCTAATCTCTGTGCTAAAGTATCAGGCCCTTATTTGGCAGGAGACAAATACAGGAATTTATTTTTGTACCCTGATAAACTACATGGCTTAAATTTCCTGTTTTGGGGCTTTAATAACGTCTGCATTCTAGTGCACTTTCTAATTGCCATAAAATAACATGGTCCAAAACCCAGCAATGGGTCCTGAGAGTTTTCTTCAGGGCCTTTGTATCCATCTCCCGAGGATCATTTGAAGCAAAAATCACTACAAGAGCTACATGACAATGTAGTAGACTTACATGAGGATATTTATGCACTATACTCAAATGTATAGCTACACATCTAGGCTTGAATATGCCAAATCCCTGCTTGTTGGCCTTCCAAACCTCTACAAGCTGCAGATCATCCAGAACTCTTCAGCTTGTGTCCTCTCCCGCACCACTGGCTCCAATATCTCAGAGGATAGAGTTCAAAATCATCATCCTCACCTTCAAGGATCTCCACGTCCTTTCCCCTTCCTACCTCTGTGACCCGCTAACCCATTATCAACCTGTCCATTTCCTCCACTCAGCCTGCATGACGTCCTCTACACGGCCCGCCCCACGGCTCGTGGTTGGGCCTTCAGCCTCTCTTCCTCTACCCTGACTGTCTAGTGCCTGGGACATCCTCCCAATGTGAAACGCGCTTTACAAATGTAATTTTGTATTGTGTTGTATTACTTGAACATGTGGTGCTCTGTATTTACACAAAATCGTCCACCCATCTATTTTCAGACCATTTCCCGCCCCTCCCAACACTCAACATAAGGACGAATGTTAGATTGACACTAGCAGAAATAATGAAATTTAGGTCTAGAGGAACAAGACATATGGAGAACTGGGCATCTGTAACAATGAACTCCCGCAGTTCAGAATGCAACCAGAGCTCCTAAGAATCTTACATTGATAACCACTCAGGTCCTGTCCTTCAATCCCGAGATAAAGGGGTTTACTCTCAGTCTCTCTCCCTGGAAAATTGTGGAATGCCAACATATATACACAACCCACAAAAACATTGTCTTCAGTTTGAGAGTAAAGTCACAAATGAGGAAGTTCAGAAAGGATTTGTAAAACTCATGCCAACTAGCAACAAAAGATTTAAACACTACCGAGGACTGAAAGATTTCTTTCTAGAATAAATACAGTTAACTCACTCCAGAATAGGGAGGAGTGACAAAGGATTAAAATGTTTGGGGATTATTTCCCACTGGCTCGATAGCTGTCAAAACACGGTCTTTATATAATAATGGGAAAATTCCATTCTGAAAGAATGCCAAAATTCCACTAAAAGAATGTGCTAAGTTTGCCATGTTTAACAAAAGTGGAAAAACGGAATTCTGGCTTTTATTCCCTCCACACTGTTTCTCGTGCTTAAGTCATTTGCGTGATGCGCTTTGAAGCATCCTCTCAATGTGAAAGGTGTTAAATAAATGTAAAATGTTGTTGCTCCCATTTGAAGGAGTGCAATACCACGGAAAATACTACTCAAATGTGATTCTCCCCCAATCTTGGGTGAAGCTCTTCGAGACATCCTCTCGATATGAAAGACCCTATAAAAATGTAAATTATTGCTGTTGACTGCATAAAAGCACTCTCTAGTCTTCCAATGTTTCTCTCTCCAAAAAACTAGCTTCACTTCCAGCCATGGTGCAGAACCATTATGATAATACACTAAAAGAAAAATCTAAATATCCTTGGACAACATTTAACTTTTTACCTGAACTGCACTAAAGTACAAATGAAAGTGCTTTTCTCAACATAACTAATTAGTTTACATTTTTGTTTTGATTTAAAGGTGAAAAAAGAATCACCAGCCTCACCTTTAATTCAACATACACCTTTCCAAAACATAGTGGTTTTATCAACTTTAATAAGTTCTTTTGTATACATTACCTAAACTGTGGCCATTCTTGGTATAGAAGCAGGTATTATTGTTCATATTCACACAGCAGCCAATGACATCCCCAGTTGTAAATGTTGGGCCGTAGGGCTGTCCAGTGCCAGAGGAACAGAATGAATGGCCATCATCCCCATGGTAGCCATACGAATGCTTATCCCAACCTAAAGCATAAAAGGTACATGTTTAAGACGTCTTTATTTATTGTTTCCACTCAATATGGTTTTAGAATAAAATGCATTGATTACTTGCTGTACAACTTGAAATGTAGCATTACATCCAATTCCAAATCAATGAGGTTTGGATTGTTAGTTAAACTGCAAAACATATTGCATCTCTTTAAATAGGAGGAAACTAAGCGTGGGCCCAGGCAATTAATTATAACTTGTAGTGGAGTCTCATTATAAGATAATTCTTTTCCAACCCATGGTTGGTTTTGGTACACAGTGCGATAAAAAATGGTCAATTGGTCAACTTCAGGATCATTGGGTTCCCACTGATACTTCCTGTGTGTTGCACATGTACAACATGTGTAGAAAGTGTCCTGATAACCAGGAATTTAGCCACTTTTTAGTGTAAGAGGCCAATCAGTTTTCTTTCTGCATGTGCAGTATCGTCATCAGTGATGTGATCAGGGACATCACAATGTGGAAGTGTTGATCTCAATCGTGCCCCATTATAAGGGGCAGTGGGGGAGGGAGTGGGGAGCGAGGGGGGAGTTTTATGGATCTCAGCATTCCCATCACAAAAACTGCTACTACCATACATTTTTTCTGATGATTTTATTGGATAACAAATTTCAGTCAACTCCATATTTGTAATCAACAGTATGATCTGAGCTCGGGAGGTAACTCAACATTATATGGCTTGAAACAACACTCATTGTAAGGACACCATGTTCCCCTTGGCATGTACAGTAAGATCCAAAATGTCACACCACTGTTTTAAGAAATAAAACAATATCTAAATCAATCAAAATCACATTGATACACTCCATGAAACTACTACATTATATTCCACAGAAACAACCCACCTCAGTGTTTATTCAGTATACAGGAGCCACGTAATATCTCATAACCTTATTAAAGTAGATCACTGTAAATACACTGTATTTTGAAATAAATTCAGCACATTAAAAAAAACTTTTTTTTTAACAGATCAAGCTAACCCCAGTTTTGGCAGAAAGTTGACCACTATAGAGAGGTCAGTAACACTTGTTATGAAATTAAACTTTAAAAAATCTCCCAATTATATGCCATATTTTAAAAGCTACAAAATGCTTTATTTGATCCAAACAGAAACCATATTTTTTAAAAACTTACAATCATAACTCCCTAAGCATGTCAAAACAATTTCAAACTGATACACTGACCCTCAACCAAGCCAGTCTCACTACTAAGCTAATTGTAGCCTTGACTGAACTGTACACCACTGGGGAAATTGGGTCAGCAGAAATGTGTGCATCCCTCTTCTCTTAGCTGACTCGTACCCCAAAGGGTAACCCTAGCAGAGAAACAGGAGTGCTTCAGGACTTTCATTAAATATGATTTCTAAAAATAAGGAAAATAGATTTTCCAAAATGTAAACTTGGCAGATTTTACCATCAGGCGTTAGCAGTGTCATATTAAAGCACTCTATTCAACAGCAAAAGGTGGATTTGACAGATTCTGCTTCAATTAAATCATAAATGATTAACTAGAGCTTAACTTTAATATACATTCTATTATACATACTTGATTGGCAATTTATTTGAATGTATTATATGAATCAATACTTTGCTTCAATCTATAACACGAAACACCTACCTGGCAGTCTGTTCATGTTGACACCTTGAGCAGACAGCCCAATGCCCATGTACCTGTAACAATACCAGTCTTTAAGCTGCTGTGTTCAATGGTTTGTTAGTCAACAGAAGCTGATCAACAAACTTCAAAAAAGTCTCCCACACAATGCTCCAAGCAATTTGAAATATTTCATATACATCATTACTAAATTGAATCTAGATTTACTTCCTGAAATGACTCCAGTATGTTTCAGTTATGTCAATCGGCTGCCACTAACCGCAGCAGCTTTGCAATATAAACAAAGCTAACCTGTTGACTCCACCAGTGGTTACCACTGAGATGGTTAATACCAAGGCAAATCTCTAGCCAACCTGCAGAGGTGGATCACCGAGGTAAGCAGGGCACTTTGCTGGCGCAGCCACGAGGAGACAAACACCACCATTCAGTACACAGAATGCCTTATGTTTCTGTGGCTGGCTGCCATTTTTTTTATATTCAAGGGTCAGACTAAACTGTCAGCAGTGCATTACTGGCCTCTACAGACCTTCAACCAAGATGCTTCTACGGATCCTTCACCCAAGGCTGCTGGTACAGAGAAAATTAATCTTGGAAAGAAGTGCACATCCATAAACTCGTGTATGTGCAGCTCCTTTATGTTATGGCTGGTGTTTTAGATTTCATCTTGCAAAATAAGTGGGCAGGATCCCAGCACTAACTGCCAAACTGGTTCAAATCTAAACACTGTCACAGCTCCAAGAGTCCAACAGAATGGGAATATCCTGCTGCATAGAGGAGGTGTTGATAGGGGGAAGAGAAACCACTCACCTTTTGGAGCAAATCAGAAAATCACTTTTTTCACTATAACAGAAAACAGTTAAGAGGAATCCAGATAGAGGTGTTAAAAAATGATGAGGGGTTTCGATAAAGTAAAAAGGAAGAAATTTGTTCCACTGGTTAACGAGTCGGTAAGTAATGAGCAAAAATTAAAGATCATTCCCATAAATTAAAAAAAACAGGGATATTAGGACACAACGTCCTCCCATAGGTTGAAGCATAATCCATACAGCTATCGAAAAGGTATTAGACAAATATCTGAAAAAATAGTATAAAAGGGTATGGGAAAAGGGTAGGCGAATGGGACAAAATGGATAGCTCTTTCAAAAGCAATAGAAGCTGTAAAATTATTTTCTAAGAAATCATCAGTTGCTAATGTGCTGCAGATGGGCCAATTGGTTGACACCCAAATACATGACGGAGCACATCCTTCACTTATCTCAACTATCTTCAGTCAAGTTCTAACACACCTTTTAGAAAATTATATTTAAAAAGTCTGATTAAATATATGTGGTGTGTATGAATAATACATATTAGCAGGGAAGCAGGTTTTATATTTCTTACCCATCTCTTCCTTTACTCACAATCTTCACCTCAAAGTAGTAAATGCCACAAGCAGCAGGTATAGGATAAGTGGCGCGGACTGAGGCTGCATCTTTAGGTGTTTTACCGTGTCCTGAAAATAGAGAAATATGGGGGTAAAACAAACCTGTGAAACATGAGAAATTATATTCTAGTAAATGGGTCACAGCAATTAAACAAATACACATGTGAAAAGACAACAGATTTGCAAATTCCGTTTGAAAGAATGAGAATCCACATTCTTAATCCTTTATTCATTCCTATTAAGTCATGCTTTTAAAACCCCCCAAAAATCCTTACATTTCACATCAGGAGGAATCTCTAAGTACTTCACACAATTCACTGTAAAATGACTGTAATTTGAACACAGCAATGTCCCACAAAGACCCAGGAAATGAATGACCAATTTAATCTGAAAGATTGTTGGCCAGGACACTGGGAGAAATTCACTTTGTTTCTCAATTCGAATAGTGGCATAGGATCTTTAATATCCATCTGAACAGATGGGACGTCGGTTTGTTGTCTCATTCAAAGGACAGCACCTCCAATAGTGCAGCACCTGCCCAACAATGCATTGAAGCATCAGCCTAGACTGTGCAAATTCAACGTCCTAACATAGGTTAAACCAACAACCTTCTTACTCAAAGGCGAGAGTGATACCAACTGAGTCAGACTGACACCTAAAAATATGGACAAGATATTTCAACGTAGACGATGTTGCAGGAAACACATTTATAGTGCAGCAAATATGGTTGAATCGAACTACCAGCCCTCAAATACCACATTGTTATTGAATTACACTTGAACTAGTAGCATTAAATGTACACGGTGTGCAGATTGATCACTGACCCTGCTTAAGAGTTAAAAATGTGTGAAAAACATACCGTATTTTAATTTGGTCAGCCAGGTGTTTGGCACACGTGAAAACTTGCTTTAGAGTATCCAAACTGAATAGAGTGCCACATGTGTATGCCAGATACATGGAAATTTCCCCATATCTGGAATTCAATGCACCCTCTCTCCCTAGAGAAATGCAGCCTGCTTACCTGATTTCAGAGAGTATTAAGTTGGTGATGGCCAAGACTTGAGAACACAAGAGTGTGTTGTGGTACTGCTGTAGTTCAACCAGCTAAAAACACAGCAAGCCATTGAAAACACTGGCAAGCTTCCCAGTGCTTGGCTAGCTAGTTCCACCCATTAGTTCTTTGGTTTGTAGGATTAACAGTTGTTGCTGAGTGGGAAGAATCCATGTTCCTAGTGACTGGACTGCTCCTCCACGTTCTGCCAATGAGCCAAGCTGGCCTTGTCCGCCACTGTTCAGCGCTTTGGGACGTTCTCCCAATGTGAAAGGCGCTTTATAAATGTAATTTTGTATTGCATTATATTAGCAGTACTCTGGAATACTACAGAATACTTGGGTCAGGAACCAGACCACTGAGACCACCACGGAAGACTGACTCAATTCTAACATTCTGTTGCCAGGCACATCAGCTTTGAGCCAGATCAGTTTCAAAGATACCTCACTGACTTCCCCTACCTTATAATAATAATAATCCTTGCATTTGATATAGCGCTTTTCACAGCTTCTGGATGCCTCAAAGCATTTCACAGAATAAACTGTAAAATGAATTGACTGTATATTTGTGGCGAAACACGGCAGCCAATTGTGCACAGCAGTGTCCCACAAACAGTTGCGGACTGAAGTGATCAATTTATTATTTTTTTTGAGGGATTATTATCAGACGTGTGGAGTAAGGAAACTTGCCCAAGGTTTCACCCTGCCGGGAATCAAACCCAGGTCTCTTGCTTGTGAGGCGAGTACTCTAACCACTGAGCTACAGGACTCCACAAGGAGAACAGTCACTAATTGGTCATTTAACATCCATCAACAGCAGGTTTGACCCATCACTGGGTAGAAGCAGGTATCAGAAACTCTCTACTTCCTGGTGAGTAGCACAACTCAGCACAAAATGTACATTGCGCCATCCTCCTGCCCACAACTTGAAAACAGAACTTTACCCATTAAGCGATGGTAATGCTAGTTGGAGATGCAGAGCTTGCACAGCAGCTGCGTAGTTCACATTGAGGCTGACACTTCAATGTAGTGATGGGGGGGTTCACTGTATTGTTGGAGATGCACTGCATTGTTGGAGGTTTCATCCTTTGGATGAGACATTAAACTAAAGTTGACGTAAAGATCTCATTTCACTATTCAAAAAGAGAAGGGAGTTTCCCAGTGTCATGGACAACAATCCTCCACATAAAATGGTCACTCACTTCACAGCTGTTTGTGGAACATTGCTGTGTACAAATTGACCTCTACATTTGCCTACAAATATACCGTCATTCTACTTTACATTAAATCCTGTGAAGTGCTTTGAGATATTTCGACCATGTGATTAAGTGCTTTAATCAAATGAAAGGATTATTATTCAAGTAGAATTTGCCATTAAAGATACTAAAATACAATGATGATCCCACATAATGAAATTTTATTCTGGGCTTATTAGAAAATGCTTTTTTCAAAGTGTGAGCAGCATCTGCATTTAAAATGTATAGGCATTTTAATTCAGATACGACTAGGACAAATAATTGCTTCAAAATAGTTTTTTTTACATATACTGTAGCAATTTATTTTGGACCGGTTAGCACACAAAGTAGGGTTACTTTGCTCTGGAGGTGTGTCGCAAGAATTCACATTTCTAGACAGGAAGAATGTTACCACATTGGGTACATTACACAGCTTTGAGGTTTGAACAGGCAAAAGCAATGGAAAAAATGTGAATTGTCACATTTTTTCAACAGTCACCCTTGTTGTAAAAACTTTCATACTAAACCCTATTTATTGGTACCTACACCTCTTGCAAGTTCATTTTATTATCATACTGTGAATCACGCATTTGAACATCCAGGGTGGGCCACCCATCTTAAGAATATCCTAAAGTGGTTTTGAACATCTTAAACCATCATAATATACTGGTGCTGATAACAACAAACACACAAACTTTGAGCTCAAAGTAACAAACTTTAGTGATGAAGCTCACATTACAGTGCAAAAGTATAGCTAGAACCTCAACAAAAGGAACAGTAGTTGGGAAGAAAGCACTTATGCTGTAAAAATCCTATTAACAACAACAAAATTACATTTGTAAAGTGCCTTTCACATCGGGATTACGTCCCAGGACGCTGAACAGTCAGGGATCAGGAACCGAGCATGGGGATTAAGGCTTTAGCATGCAGGGATGAGGACACATAAGGATGTGCATCTCCACTGCAGACATCATCCAAGCCAGTGAAGCTTCACTGAGCCACCTTTACATTTTACTCATGAGAAAGACACTGAGCATCTCGTCACAAAACTGCATAATTTGGTTTATAATCATATTTACTAACGGTGAATATTTTGGTGCACATGACAATACACATCAGATTGGTGGGGCCACAAAGCTATTTTGTTGCTACAATGCAGGATTGCCACCACACTGCACCACACGGATTAAATGTACAATGATGATGTCATTCTCAGATCAGAGGCTCTGAAGGATATAGGTTAAATATGCAATACCATAATGTGTTTACGTGCAGTTCAAGGGTGTAACACAATATCAGAGCTCTTATGACTTATCAATTGCTAAAGTATTATTTTCATAAGGTGTCATCTGACCCCTTAATTGTCATTACACACTTGAAATAATCTACTTGTTATCATAGAACCACAGAATTATACAGCACAGAAGGAGGCCATTCGGCCCATCGTGTCTGTGCCGGCTCTTTGAAAAGAGCTATTCAATTCAATTCCACTCCCCTGTGCTCTCCCCATAGCCCTGCAAACTTGTCCTCCCCAAATAATTATCTATTTCTCTCTTAAAAGTTGTTCGTGAATTGGCTTCCGCCACCCTTTCAGACAATGCATTCGAGATCCGAACAACCTGCTGTGTGATATCAACACTGGCCTGGTTCACACCCCCACCTACTCACCCCCACCACCCAACACCTGGCCTTTCAGCCTGTCTGCCTCCACTCCATCCAGGAATCCCTTCCCTCGCCTCCTTAAAGGTCCGTTTCAAAACATTCCTCATTGACCGAGCCTTCAGTCATCTTCCCACTCCCACCCCTTTGGCCCCACCCCTCCCAAATCCAAACCCCAATTTGGGTGCAAACCCTCTTGTTACATCTAGTTATTATTATTATAATTATAGTCCTTGGATTTGATATAGAGCCTTATCATGTCGTTGAGATTTCTCAAAGCGCTTCACAGAATATACTGTAAAGCGTAGTGACTGTATATTTTGTAGGCAAAACACAGCAGCCAATTATGCACAACAGTGCCCCATATTTGCATTGCTTGTACACACTTTGTCTCCGCCCAGAGATGTATGTATTCTTGCCAACCTTTTCTTCCTTCCTGTTCCTTTCATCTTGTACCCACCACATTATGGTGGTAAGATGATATAAGGTGTTATATCAACTGCTATATTAAATGTCATATCAAATGTAAGGATTAAGGCCCCTAGATTCAAAATCTACAAAATTATTGCATGAGAGAAATGGAGCAACAAAATACATTTATAATATGATCTGAAAACCAGGAAGCATAAAATCTAGTATTTTGCAATATAGTGCAAATGATTTATTACTGATGCATTTTTTTTAGACCATCAACAATCCTGCAATACCAAATAATACCAAATACTGTAATACCAAATTCTCTACAGTGACAATGGACTCAAATTTCTATCAGCATAAGCATATTAAAACATCTTACACACTATCAAAGAGCCTGAGAAAGTGGAAACCGGTGTGGGGAGGAAAAAACAAGGGAAAGAAAGTTGAGAGAATTTGTCTGTGAGTAAACCTAACTGAATGTAGTCCCTCTAAAAGTATTATCGCTCCTGCAACATTTAAGGAATGTCACACAATGAGCTTGTTTGCTTCATACATTTTAAGCTCCATGCCAACCAACATGGCCTCCATGCAGTGAGATCTTTGTCTCCCCGGCATAGTTCAAAACCATTTAAAAGGACTGGTGCATTCCATCTCAAGCCCAAACGCCATGCCTCATATTTCTCTTTCTATTTTTGCAATCCCCAAATC